AATCTCTCTCTCTAGCTTTTCTCTCTACAACACTCAAAACCAAAAGTGTTCTCTTGTGCGATTTTGATGAATTAGTAGCGTTCTCTTCTTTTTACATTTTTGTTTTCTGCTTTGCGCCCGATCTTCGTAAAATTGTGTGTTTGATGCTAAGTATGGATTGTTGAATTTGCTGGTGTGTTGGAATTTAGAACTTTAGCATTTGGTTAAATTTTTGAGGAATTTGAAACTTGAAATTCTGGTGAGGAGAATTGAGGATTGAGACCGGAAAAAAAAATGGAGGAAAGAGGATTTATGTCACCTTCATTGGCCATGTCGGCGTCTTATCGGGAAGGAGGAGGAGGAAACAAGGGCTATTCGCGAAGGAGGTCGATGAGGCCGAGCTTTGAAGCTGATAACGAGCTCATAACCCTACTCCATGGCTCGGATCCCGTTAGAATTGAGCTCAATCGTCTGGAGAACGAAGTTAGAGGTACTATAACGCGACTCGCTTACGATTGACTTGTGAATTTTGAAATTTTGGTTTTGATTAGCATTCTTGTTCCAGCAACGTGCATGCTTTTCCATTCTTGTTTTTAAAAAACATTTGACTTTGTGTTCAGACAAGGATCGAGAATTGTCTGAGGCCCAAGCAGAGATAAAAGCATTGAAGTTGTCTGAACGACAAAGAGAGAAGGCCGTTGAAGAGGTTAAGCTCTTACTTAAGTGGCAATATGATGTTTCTATTTATAGAAGGTGGACTAGTCTTGTAGCTTGGTTATAGTTGCTGTGATTAGTCATCTTTATTGCTCATCTGTGATCTTACTTCAGTTTAGATATGAAGACATTAAAAATGATTTTGGTTCTGTTTTCATTATGTTATGTAAAGTTTATTTCTTTGCACTCTCTTGTATACTAACCTCTCTGCTGTCTAATTTTTGAGTGCTGAAGCTTACAGAAGAGTTGGGAAAGATGACGGCAAAACTCAAACTGATTGAAAACCTTCTTGAGTGTAAAGTATGCTTGTAACTATCTCCTCTGTTCTTTGGTTCCTTTTTTCTCTTGATTCTGTATCTAATGATGTTGTGTCACAGAACCTTGAAATAAAGAAAATAAATGAAGAAAAGAAGGCTTCCATGGCAGCTCAGTTTGCAGCAGAAGCCTCTCTTCGCAGGGTTCATGCTGCTCAAAAGGACGATGACATGCCTCCCATTGAAGCTATTCTTGCCCCTCTAGAAGCTGAGATCAAGCTTGCAAGACAAGAAGTAGTTTCCTTCCTTTGAACCAGTGGATTCAACTAGTTTTGGGACATTTTAAACAGCCTTCTCATCTGGTTTTGCATTCTTTGATTGGTAGATTGTTAAGCTTCAAGACGACAACAGATCACTGGACCGACTTACCAAATCAAAGGAAGCAGCTTTGCTTGACGCTGAAAGAACAGTTGAATCTGCGTTGGCAAAGGCTTCATTGGTTGATGATCTCCAGAATAAGAACCAAGAACTGATGAAACAAATAGAAATTTGTCAGGTAATGTCTAAGAATCATTTTCTCTTTTTTCCACTCAACTAGCTGATTAAAGATTTTTTTGCCTGATTTTTGTTCCTATGGTTAAATCAGGAAGAGAATAAAATTATAGACAAGATGCATAGACAGAAGGTTGCAGAAGTTGAAAAGCTTATGCAGACTGTGAGGGAGTTAGAAGAAGCTGTTCTTGCTGGTGGTGCTGCCGCAAATGCAGTGAGAGATTACCAGAGGAAATTTCAAGAAATGAATGTAAATAACTCATACGCTTCTACAGTTCCCCACAGTAACTATTTTTCTTCTTAGTTAACATTTTGGTCTTGTTTGGTGTTTTCTTTAGGAAGAGAGAAAAATTCTTGAACGTGAACTGGCACGTGCTAAGGTTAATGCAAACAGAGTTGCTACTGTAGTAGCAAACGAGTGGAAAGATTCTAACGACCAAGTGATGCCTGTAAGGCAGTGGCTTGAAGAACGGAGATTTCTTCAGGTTTTTGTTACATCTTCTTTACTTCTCCTGCTGCTTTGAGCTGTGATTGGTTCATCTTTACCATCTCCTACATCTGTTTGAACAGGGAGAAATGCAACAACTACGTGACAAGCTTACAATAGTTGACCGAGCTGCAAAATCTGAAGCTCAGCTGAAGGTAGAATCGTAGCTATGTGACATCTTAATTTAGTTTGCCATTTTTGTTTATATGGGATTAAATTTGGAAATGGTGATTAGGAGAAATTTATACTGCGGCTTAGAGTGTTAGAAGAGAGTTTAAAGAGGCCTACAAGCAGCAGCAGCAACAGAGGAACGCCTAGTAGTAGAAGTTCAAGCAATGGACCTTCTCGAAGACAATCTCTAGCTGGAGCTGAAACGAGTCCAAAACTTACATCAAATGGCTCTTTGACCAAGAGAACTACACCAAGTTCTCAGCTGAGATCATTGTCTACTAGCGCGAGCAATATATTGAAGCATGCTAAAGGAACATCTATATCGTTCGATGGAGGAACAAGAACGTTGGATAGAAACAAAGTGCTGATAAACAGACCGGGATTGAGTTTTCCTTTGAACCACCAGTCTCCTGAAGGAACTAGCGGAGGCGAGTCACCTAGCTCAATGAAAGGAGAAGAAGCAGATGATAAATCAGCAAGTAATGATAGTGTCTCTGGTGTCTTATACGATTTGCTGCAGAAAGAGGTGATAACATTGAGAAAAGCTGCTCATGAGAAAGATCAAAGCCTAAGAGACAAGGACGAAGCTATTGAGGTTTGTTAGTGTCATGTCTTGTTCTTTGCAGCACTTTAGAATGAAATGTTGTATTGTAGACTCTTAATATTTTGGGGGTTTATGTGGTTTTTAGATGTTGGCGAAGAAGGTTGAAACATTAACAAAGGCGATGGAAGTTGAGGCAAAGAAGATGCGAAGAGAAGTAGCTGTAATGGGGAAAGAAGTTGCGGCTATGCGTGTGGATAAAGGACAACAAGATACTAGTAAAACTAGACGTCTCTCTTCCATGCCAAAGGGATCTACAAACCTGATTAGAAGTTGTGTGAATGGAAGTGTTCGCCAAGAGCTTGAAATATACAGCCAGCAGAAGTAGTTGATCCATCGTCGGTTGTTTTGCAGCATTAATTGTGCTTGAGAAACCAAGAGAGTTTCCTTAAAACATAAGCAAGAAAAAGTATTAGAAATGTCCCTCAGTTTTCTGTCCTTCTCATTCTCAAAGAGCTTCACGTCAGTGGCGAATCCACATGAAGGAATAGGGTGTCAAGTGACACCATATTATTTTGGATTTTCTTCAATAGTTATATGAAGATGTTTACATTGACACCAGATAAAAGTTGCAATTGAACCCATAATTTTGTTCTTCTTCTAATCTTTTTATATTTATTTTGAATTCATAAGCAAATTTTAGATATTAACCCATATTTTAATGTTGAACTTTCTTATAAATATATTAAGATAGAGTCAAGATTAATTTAATTTTTTTTCTTTTATATATGAATCCAGTTAAAAAAAATTATAGATTCGCCACTGCTTCACATAATACTATTATCACCAAAAAAAATGAAGCGAAGAAGTGTAAATTATAAAATACGAACATAATTAATATGAAAAGAAACCTCTCACACACCTGGACAATGACATAAAAATCCACTGTTCATAAAGGACTTCACCAATGCTTTCTCAAGGTTGTGAAGCTGTGTTAAACAAAATAAATTTGCGCAAAACATCAGCCATAAACTTGTTCACATACACAACAAGTTGGTTGAAGTCCATTTGAGATTAAAATGTGTAACTCGTTGATTTCAAATCTTTTTCAGAATTTGTTACACTTTCTTTGGGTTTATCAATTCTTTGACCAAACTGTAATTGAGGAAGTACAAAAGTTGCACAACTAAAACAAGCAGCTATCGATTTGATCTGGTAGAGTTCTAATATCTACAACACCCATTTCTCTTATTTCATTCAAAACTTTGGCATCTTAAGGTTGAAGTAAAAAAATACCTACATTGTCAATATATGGCGAAAAGATAGTGTAATCAACTAATAACTGGAATGAACAACTATCCTCGGTTCATTGTCAATTTTAGAATGTGTGGCCAGTAAAATTCTCTTATTTCCTTTATTAAAACTTTGCAATCGTCTTAACCTGCAATAAAAACATTGATGGCAAAAAATTTGATTGAACACAAATTTGTTTGACATAAATTAAATCCACATTATTTGACAGAAAAAATTCATATAATATTTTCCTCAAAACAATGCAGAGTAAATACATATGGACGAATACCTCCATTGCACTCTAGATCATTCACCTCTAAAGCTTTAGTATCGCTATTCACAAAAACCACAACTTAGTTGAAGTCCGAAGCTTTAAACTGTTTCTCAAATACGGTAAAAGGGAGAACTAAACTTCACTTGTTCATATATGTAGTGGTTTGCTTTTGTTGTGTTACATTAAGAGAGGTAGGCTTTTGTATTATAACTAAACGTTTTAAGCTTTTTAGTGTGTGATTATTAACTCTCTCTCTCTCTCTCTCTCTCTCTCTCTCTCTCTCTCTCTCTCTCTTCTTGGTTTTTTTCTTTTTGGCAGAACGAACGATTCTCTTTTCTTGGTTATGCAGTCAAATTATTTTTTGTAAAGAATCTGATCATAACCAGACGAATTGAACCGGTTCTGCATCATTGACCGGGACGCGGTATCGACTATCGGCTATCGCGACGTGGGATTTGCGTTTTGCCATATATTTTCACTTTTGGCACAAAAATGTTCAATATTTGAATGAATAGGCCTACTCTGTTGTTTTGAAATTGGTTTCCATTACCGTTCTCTGCTCCATTGGTTCGTTTCCTCTTTTTCCAGATTCACCGATCTCCTATACCGCCTCGAGAGATTAAACTCACCGGACTTTTCAAATCCGCCACCCGACAACCTTCTTTTCTGCTCGTCGGATCTAGATCTGAGCGTCGGTGAGAGATTTTTCTGGATCTTTGATCCGTTCCAGGAAAAATGGCGACGATGAAAAGTTTGATAGGTCTGATTAACAAAATCCAGAGGGCTTGCACTGTCCTCGGAGATCATGGCGGTGAAGGAATGTCTCTCTGGGAAGCTCTCCCAACCGTCGCCGTCGTTGGTGGCCAGGTTTTATCTCTTTCTATAAACATACATTCACCTTCGTATCTAAGATCCGATCTCACTTCTCGCCTCTTTCATCACTTTAACGTATACGTTTCTGATTTATTTTGGTGTTGATTTTTGGATCAGAGCTCCGGAAAATCTTCAGTTCTAGAAAGTGTTGTGGGAAGGGATTTTCTGCCTCGTGGATCTGGTAATTTCATCTCTCGTAATGCAATTTTTTTTTGGTGTTCGCTGCTCGAAATTAGGTATTGAATAGGTTTTGGGAGTTTTCGTGCTCATAGTTGCTTCCATTGAGTACTTCGAAGAATCTACACAATAGCTCCACATCACCGTGCCTTGTGAATAGTGTTCCATTGATGCTGATTTGGTAGCATTTGATTAATCAGGTATCGTTACAAGGAGGCCATTGGTGTTGCAGCTTCATAAGACTGAAGACGGGACAACCGAGTATGCTGAGTTTCTTCATGCTCCTAAGAAGAGGTTTGCTGATTTTGGTAGGTTGATTGATCTTTCATGGGGCATTCTAATTGCCAATGAATATTCGCTCCTTTTTTTATATGAAGTTTAGACTCATAAAAGGTAGGTAACGCTAATAAGTATTCTTCCCTTTCCAGCTGCTGTGCGAAAGGAAATTGAGGATGAAACTGATCGTATTACTGGGAAGTCGAAACAAATCTCAAACATTCCTATTCAGCTGAGCATATACTCTCCTAATGGTTTGTGCTTAAGACCTTATCTCATGTAACGAATCCCTGTTGTAAATAAATACTGCAGTGCGTTTAGAAGACCAACACAGTAATTTTCTTATATTGTAGGATTAGCCTTTAAGATTTCAATACTCACTTTATGCTTTTCTCTGCAGTTGTTAATCTGACGCTCATAGATCTTCCGGGTTTGACGAAGGTTGCTGTAGGTAAGAGTTTGATACGTTATATCATTGGTTCTTGTCTCCAGTACCTTGTGGTTAAACTGCTCACTCACATGAATGTTACTCTTGTAGATGGACAACCAGAGAGTATCGTCCAAGACATTGAAAATATGGTCCGCTCTTATGTTGAGAAGGTCAGTTTTTCTCTAAGCTATCGATGAGAAGGTTTCGGAAATCGTGTCATTTATCCCATCCAAGTTGAACTGAACCATACATATGATCATCTTGTCACTATATGATATGTTTTTGGAAAAAAACCATTAGATATGAAAGTGATACAGAAGGATCAAATTTTTTTCTCTATAATGTTAACTTTGGAAGCTTATCCTGTGAGCTGTTTTATTCGCAGCCAAATTGCATCATATTGGCTATTTCTCCAGCTAATCAAGATATTGCAACCTCAGACGCCATAAAACTTGCTAGAGAAGTTGATCCTACAGGTACTATACCTAGATGTAGTTTCCTAGAAAGTAGTAAGTGGTGATTTTTCTAAAACTTCCTAGTATATTATCTGTAGGTGAAAGAACTTTTGGAGTGGCAACCAAGCTTGATATCATGGATAAAGGAACAGATTGTCTAGATGTAAGGATCTTTCGTGACTCCTGCAGCTTGAGATCTAAATCAATTACTTGTTTAATTACTTTGACACCTCTTCTCGGTATTTGTTGAAGGTTCTTGAGGGAAGGTCATACCGTTTGCAACATCCCTGGGTCGGAATTGTGAATCGTTCACAGGCTGATATCAACAAGAGGGTTGATATGATTGCTGCGCGTAGGAAGGAGCGTGAATATTTTGAAACAAGCCCTGAATACGGGCATTTAGCCAGTAGGATGGGATCAGAATACCTAGCAAAACTCTTGTCTCAGGTACCCTTATGATCTACTCGCATGGATATTTCAGAAATCAAAGCTTTAATGCATGGTGTTGACTTTCTTCCAACTTTTTCATTTTTCCTCTCTATCAGCACTTGGAGACTGTTATCAGGCAGAAAATCCCCAGTATTGTCGCTTTGATCAACAAAAGCATTGATGAGATAAATGCAGAGCTGGACAGAATTGGAAGACCTATCGCTGTAGATTCAGGGGTAAGATCTTAAACCATTATGTATTCGTTTTTCAAAGTTGCATCAGAATCGAATGGATAGTTACTCACCAAATTTGTATTTCAGGCCCAACTTTACACAATCTTGGAACTCTGTCGGGCATTTGATCGTGTCTTTAAGGAGCACTTGGATGGAGGGTAAGTGATTTAGTTACAGTATTTTGCTTCTTAAGCAGATAGCTCGTGAATTATTTTGTCTGTACTGATTTAAAAGTCTAAAGTACATAGAATGATGACCTTTTAGTAGATGTTTGCCAAAAATAATTCACACACCATTTCATAGTGCAAGTCTGCAAAAGTCAGTTTTCTCACATTTGTCATGTTGTTTGTATCAGACGACCTGGTGGAGACCGGATTTATGGAGTTTTCGACCATCAGTTACCAGCAGCCTTAAAGAAACTTCCCTTTGATCGACATCTGTCTACCAAAAATGTTCAGAAGGTTGTTTCAGAAGCAGATGGTTATCAGCCACATCTTATTGCTCCTGAACAAGGATACAGAAGGCTCATTGATGGATCTATAAGCTATTTCAAAGGACCAGCTGAGGCCACTGTCGATGCAGTATGTTTCCAAATCTCTATTAGAAGATTCCATTGCTTACGAGACTTAATTTCCAAGAACTTGACTATGTACTAACTCCTGTTTGATATCTCCTAGGTTCATTTTGTATTGAAAGAGCTGGTCAGGAAGTCGATTTCAGAAACAGAGGTGAGAAAAAGCCTTTTCGTTGTGTTGTGAGAACTCCTCCTAGCTATTTACGCTCCGTTTCAATCCTAAAATGCTATTCTTTTTACTTATCAGGAGCTGAAGCGATTCCCGACTCTAGCAAGCGATATAGCAGCAGCAGCAAATGAAGCTCTTGAAAGATTCAGAGACGAAAGCAGGAAAACGGTTCTGCGTCTGGTGGACATGGAATCCAGCTATCTCACGGTTGAGTTCTTCAGGAAACTTCACCTCGAACCCGAGAAAGAGAAACCAAACCCGAGAAACGCTCCACAGCCAAACGCAGACCTCTACTCCGATAATCACTTCAGAAAGATCGGTACGTGTCTCTCCCAGCTTTCCTCTATGATATGATGAATGAGACAGATCAAAGATTTTTTGTTGACTTTTGAATTTAATAACTCAGGATCGAACGTGAGTGCGTACATAAACATGGTCTGCGACACATTGAGAAACTCTCTTCCCAAAGCTGTTGTTTACTGCCAAGTCAGAGAAGCTAAGAGATCGCTCCTCAACTTCTTCTACGCTCAAGTCGGCAGGAAAGAGGTAATAAACATTACTAACAATATTACCATTATATACTTAGAGAGTATTTGACTCAATATAAAGAGTGAGGAACACTTTTTAATGAGAAATTAAAAAATGATGCAGAAGGAGAAGCTGGGGAATATGTTGGACGAAGACCCACAGCTGATGGAACGAAGAGGAACCTTAGCGAAACGGCTAGAGCTTTACAAACAAGCTAGAGACGACATCGATGCCGTGGCTTGGAAGTAAGGTGTGATCAAGGAAGGGGTGGGTGTTGCTAAGAAATATTCTTTATACTTTTATTTTCTTCGTTCGTGTGGGCACTACAATTATAATAGATATGTTGGGAGTTACTACTAACTTCCAATCCATTGATTCACACACATACACACGATAACTCATGGGTTTGTTCGGTCACTAATCTCTGTCGCAACTTTTCCTCTTTTTTGGTTTGTATCTTGAGTACTGTTTTTAGAACGGTTGAGTCGCATATCTGAGCCGCCGTCTGTATTCTTTTCTACATTAGTGCCACGTCATTATATTTGGGTCTAGTTCAAGTTCTCGTCATTATCAATCATAAATACCTTTCTTTTGTCACGAACACTAAATTCCCAATTTTTGAGTAAGAACGAGCATCAAGTGTTATCATCTGGATTATTTTTAAATCGAATCCTATTATGATTACGTTGTTTGTAGATGCTTATTTCAGATATTATATTATATGTGCACTTATCCATGTGTTTACATTTATTTTAGTTAGTTTTAAAGTATACTCGTAATTAGCTAAATCTGTATCAAAGGATCAAATCCTTCTGTCTTTAATGATGCATGAGCCTGCTTCACATGGTGTTTAGTAAACGGATACGTAATCCTTAAGATTCGGGATTTCACAGCTGTCTAAGTGTTAAGTAGAAAATAAAAGTCAACGAGAGAGCTTCGAACTTTCAAGCTGTCCGTTTTTGCTGCGGATTAGGGAAAGGTTTTCTTATCCAGTTTCAGTAGAGACAAGTACCAATCATTTGTCTGTTTTCTGGCTCTCTGTCAACATCAGATCTCTTTACTTCTCAAGTGCGTGGATCACAAGAGGCTCTCTCTCTCTTTCTATCTGTCACGGCCATTTCTTCTCTTTGCGCAAGCTTTTTGAGTTTTGAGGATCCGAAACCCAAAGATCATGGAGGAAAGCCAAGAACTTGCTTTGACCCAGTTTAGAAAATCGGTCGAGAAACTCTCTTCTTCCACCGAGGTAAATCAAATTCCACGGTTTTTTAATTTCATTTCAAGCTTTCATCTTTTTGTCCGTTTGGTTCCCTCCTTCATGTGGGGTAGCTAGAAGTTGAGAAAGATCTAAAGATTTGATATAATGTATTTTCTCGTCTAGGCTGTTAAATCTTGTCTTATTCTCGTTATAATGGTCCCCATCAGAAACCTTTAACAGTGGGAGAAATTTTAGTATAAACGCATTCAAAATCTGATCCATGTGTTGTTTTGCTCTGTTGCTTCCTCTGAAAAGGGATATGAGAAACCGACATTGATGAGGTTCCTGGTGGCAAGATCAATGAACCCAGGCAAGGCAGCAAAGATGTTTGTAGACTGGCAAAAGTGGAGAGCCTCCATGGTTCCTTCCTCTGGATTCATACCAGACTCAGAAGTGAAGGTTGAATTGGAAGCAAGAAAGATCCATCTTCATGGTCCAACCAAATCCGGACGCCCTCTGTTAATTATTAATGGCTCCAAGCATTTTCCTTCCAAGGATCAACTTGTTTTCAAGAGTAATCAACACTTATCACCTCTTGACTTTAAGGTTTTATGGTTTAAAATGTCTGTGAATATAAATATGTTTAAAAAATATATATAAATCATGTTTTTAATATGGAGTTTGAAGTCAACTTATGTTTTTGTTTTGTGTTGGTTTGGTTCTCAAGACTCTTTCTGTTTCGTGTTGCAGAGTTCGTTGTTCATTTGTTAGACAAAGCTATCGCAAGGTTGGAACCAAAACTAGTAGAGCAAATGTCCTTGTGATTTCTCGCTACTTGACAAATTAAAGCTCTTGGAACCATTATGTTTTCAGTGGCATCAAAGGAAAAGAAGTAGGAGACGAGAAGTCGGTAGGCCTTGTTGATCTGCAAAACATTACATTGAAGAACATTGATCTTCGTGGAATGATCACCGGCTTTCAGTTCGTACAAGTAAGCATCTCTCTTCTTTCTCTGAAACAACGTACATCACAAGAAAACGTCACAGCTATCTTATAGTTTTATAAATTAATCTCCAGTCTTACTATCCGGAACGCCTCTTAAAATGCTACGTCTTGAATATGCCTTCCTTCTTCGTGACCATCTGGAAATTTATCGGCCGTTTTATAGATAAAGCAACGAAGGAGAAGGTTTAATCTTCAATCTTCTCATTATGTATTTATCTCTCCACAGGTTCTTTAGAAAATAATCTCAAAGACTTTACGGTTTTTGGTTTTGTGGTTGTTCAGATTGTGTTAGTAACGGATGAAGAAGAACGGAGGAAATTCGAGGAGGAGGTGGGATTAGATGCCTTGCCGGAGGAATACGGCGGCCGAGCTAAGCTCACAGCACTCCAAGATGTTTTTCTTCCTAGCCCTGCTCCAGGAATGTTAGCAAGAAACAAAGATGCTTAGCTATTGATTTTTGGGAGCAAAACCCCTGCTTTAATCCACATCATAGCCCTGCTCCAGGAATGTTAGCAAGAAACAAAGATGCTTAGCTATTGATTTTTGGGAGCATTGACCACATAAAACCCCTGCTTTAATCCATATCATATTATCATTTATTTTCGTACTGCTTTAATCTTTTTTTAGTATTCTGTAATGATCAGAACAAAACTTTTCTTGGAACTTTTCAACTAGTTCAAATTTCCAAAAAGAAGCAATGAAACACATGAGAAAGTTGAGTGAATAATTTACTCAATCTGCTCTCGTTTTTGCTCACCAGTTTCAAATATCCTACGTAAATATTATACTCCATGGTATACGGCATATAATGTATATATTATTATATCTTCTTTTAAGTATACTAATACTGTCTGTAGCAACGAATCCTTTTGTCTTTAAAGTTTAATCAAATGCAATGATTAAAGTAATGAGCCTGTTTCACATGGTTCTTATGACTACAGATTAAAAGATGAATAAAAAGATACAGTATTAAGTAATCCTTAAGATTCGGGATTTAGTAGTAATATTATAGTCATGGATCCATCACAGCTGTCTAGTGTTTTGCTGCTAATTAATCAGGGAAAGGTTTCTTTTTCTTATCCAGTTTCCGTAGAGACAAGTTCCAATCATTTCTCTGTTTCTGGTCCTAATCTTCCTGTGGTTTCTGGCTCTCTGTCAACATCATATCTCTGTACTTCTTCAAGTGCGTGTACGGATCACAAAAGTCTCTCTCTCTGTCTCTCTTTCTGTCACGCCATTTCTTCTCTGTGCGCAAGCTTCTTGAGTTTTGAGGATCTGAGAGCCAGAAATCATGGAGGAAAGCCAAGAACTTGCGTTGACCCAGTTTCGAAGATCGGTTGAGAAACTCTCTTCTTCCACAGAGGTAATCAAATTCAAGAACTTGCGTTGACCCAGTTTCAGAAACCTTTAATAGTAGGAAAAGTTTTAGTAAAATGCATTCAAAACCTGATCCATGGGTTATTTTTACTATGATGTTTTTTCTGAAAAGGGATATGAGAAAGCGACGTTGATGAGGTTCCTGGTGGCAAGATCAATGGACCCAAAAAAGGCAGCAAAGATGTTTGTAGAGTGGCAAAAGTGGAGAGCCTCCATGGTTCCTCCATCTGGATTCATCCCAGACTCAGAAGTGAAGGTTGAATTGGAAGCAAGAAAGATCCATCTTCATGGTCCAACCAAATCCGGACACCCTCTGTTAATTGTTAATGGCTCCAAGCATTTTCCTTCCAAGGATCAACTTGTTTTCAAGAGTAATCAAACTCCTCACCTTTGACTTGTTCCAAGCAAGCTTTTGTAACCATAGAACTTAGCTTTATCTTGCTCTAATACTAAGTCTTGTTTGTGTTTGGTTTGGTTCTCAAGACTCTTTGTGTTTCGTGTTGCAGAGTTCGTTGTGCATCTGCTAGACAAAGCTATCGCAAGGTTGGAACCAAAACATATTAGAGCAAAGTCCTTGTGACTTCAGGGTTGTTCCTTGATTATAGATTACAAAGCTTTTTGATTGATATGTTTCAGTGGCATCAAAGGAAAAGAAGTAGGAAACGAGAAGTCGGTAGGCCTTGTTGATCTGCAAAACATTGCATTGAAGAACATTGATCTTCGTGGAATGATCACCGGCTTTCAGTTCTTACAAGTAATTAGCATCTCCCCTCTCTTTGAAACAATGTACATCACAAAATCTTGCGATGACTCTCTTTGATAGTTTATTTAAATCAATCTCCTCTCTCCAGTCTTACTACCCGGAACGCCTCTTAAAATGCTACGTCTTGAATATGCCTTCCTTCTTCGTGACCATTTGGAGATTTCTCGGCCGTTTTATAGATAAAGCAACTAAGGAGAAGGTTTGATCTTCAATCTTCTCATTATGTATCTCTCTCCACAGGCTATTAAGCAAAAAAATCTCTAGCACTGTAGCACATAACGGATTTTGGTTTTGTGGTTGCTTAGATTGTGTTAGTAACGGATGAAGAAGAACGGAGAAAATTCGAGGAGGAGGTGGGATTAGATGCCTTGCCGGAAGAATACGGCGGCCGAGCTAAGCTCACAGCACTCCAAGATGTTTTTCTTACTCAGACTGCTCCGGGATGTTAGCAAGAAACAATGATGTTTAGTTATTGATTTTTCGGTGCATTTACCCATAAAACCTTGCTTTAATCCATACCATATTATTATTGTTTGTTTTCGTAATGCTTTAAACCTTTTTATTCTGTAATGTTTAGAGCAAAACTTTTGTTGGAACTTTTCAACAAGTTCAAAATTTCCAAAAAGAAGCAATGAAACACATGAGAAATTTGTGTGAATAATAATAATACACTCAATCTGCTGAGTGATCGCTTTTGCTCACCAGTTTCAATATTCTATGTAAATATAATGCATATATTTTTTTAAAGTATACACTAGTTCTGTCTGTAGCAACGAATCGATTCCTTTTGTCTTTAAATGGTTAATCAAATGCAATGAGCCTGTTTCACGTGGTTCATTTGACAATAGATTCAAAGTTTTTTTTTTTATTATAAATATACTGTATTAAGTAAGTAATCCTTAAGATACGGGATTTAGTAGTAATATAAGTCATGGAATCATCACAGCTGTCTAAGGGAGTGACAAATAAAAGTCAACGAGTGAGCTTCAACTCTGAGCTGTTCGTTTTTGCTGCTAATCAGGGAAAGGTTTCTTATCCAGTTTCAGTCATTTGTCTGTTTCTGGTCCTGTCTTCCTGTGGTTTCTGGCTCTCTGTCAACATCAGATCTCTTTACTTCTCCAAGTGCGTGTACGGATCACAAAAGGCTCTCTCTCGATCTGTCTTCTCTTTCTTTCACGCCATTTCTTCTCTCTGCGCAAGCTTCTTGAGTTTTGAGGATCTGAGAGCCAGAGATCATGGAGGAAAGCCAAGAACTTGCTTTGACCCAGTTTAGAAAATCGGTCGAGAAACTCTCTTCCTCCTCAGAGGTAATCAAATTCGACGCTGTAAATTTCGTTACAAGCTTTTAGCTTTTTTTTCCTTCATGTGGGTTTCATTGTCAATATGTAGTTAGAAGTTGAGAAAGATCTGAGATTTGATTAATTCTGGTCTAAGCTGTTAAAACTTGTCTTTTTCTCGTTAGTCGGTTATAATGGTGGTCCCCATAAGAAACATTAACAGTAGGAGAAAGTTTTAGTCAAAATCAGAAAAAAAACTGATCCATGAGTTGTTTTGTTTCCTCTGAAAAGGGATATGAGAAACCAACATTGATGAGGTTCCTGGTGGCAAGATCAATGAATCCAGACAAGGCAGCAAAGATGTTTGTAGACTGGCAAAAGTGGAGAGTCTCCATGGTTTCTCCATCTGGATTCATCCCAGACTCAGAAGTGAAGGATGAATTAGAATTCAGAAAGGCCTTTCTACAAGGTCCAACCAAATCCGGACATCCTCTGTTACTTTGCAAGGTCTCCACGCATTTTCCTGCCAAGGATCAACTTGTTTTCAAGAGTAATCAGACTTCTTTATCTTTCAACTTGTTCCAAACCTTTTGACTTTTAATTTAAGGTTTATATTTAAGTGAATATGGATAGTTCCTTTAGTAGACTTTGTTTTGTGTTGGTTTGTTTCTCAAGACTCTTTGTGTGGTTTGGTTCTCAAGAGTCTTTGTGTGTTTGTGTTGCAGAGTTCGTTGTTCATTACCTAGACAAAGTTATCGCAAGGTTGAAACCAAAACTACACAGAGAAATGTCCTACCGATTTCTCTATACTTGACATTTGACAAAGCTCTTTGTGTTCATATGTTTCAGTGGAATCAAAGGCAAAGAAGTAGGAGATGAGAAGTTGGTAGCTATTATTGATCTTGCAAACATTACATACCAAAACCTTGATGCTCGTGGTATGATCACCGGCTTTCAATTCTTACAAGTAAGCTTAAGCATAAGCATATCCTCCTCTCTTTCTTGAATTCACCAAAAAAAGAAAGAAAAAAGAGTCACACATTCTGATAGTTTGTATAACATAATCTCCAGTCTTACTACCCGGAACGCCTTGCAAAATGTTACATGTTGCATATGCCTGGATTCTTCGTGACCGTTTGGAGATTCGTCTGCCGTTTCTTAGAGAAAGCAACTCAAGAAAAGGTTTGATTTTTGAACTTCTCATTATGTATCCTATCTCCAGAGGTTCTTGCAAGAAAATCTCAAGCGCATTATGGTCTTTTTTTGTTGTTGTTTAGATTGTGATAGTAACGGATGGAGAAGAACAGAGGAAGTTCGAGGAGGAGATCGGGTTAGATGCCTTGCCGGAAGAATACGGCGGCCGAGCTAAGCTTACAGTGCTCCAAGATGTTTTTCTTCCTCGGTCTGCTCCAGGAATGTTAACAACAAACAATAATGTTTAACTCTTGAGTGAGTATTGAGAGCATTTATCACTGCGTTAGTCCACCATATTGTTATTTATCTTCGTACTGTTTTTCAATCTTTTTTATTCTGTAATGTTTAGAACAAAACTTTTGTTGGAACTTTTCAACAAATTTAAATTTCCAAAAAGAAGAAGCAATGAAACACATGAGAAATTTGTGTGAATAGTGATCGCTTTTGCTCACCAGTTTCAAATATCCTTCTATTGTTTTGGTTTTTCAAGATGTATATGAAAATGACTAATAAAAATACTCTAAAATCCCAAGCTTTTTTTTTCCATCAGCCACTTGCAAAGCCTCTTTGTCTCTGACGTCTTTTTCTTCCTCCTATATCTTGATTGTATTTTAAATTGCAGATAGATAACTTCAGATCGTATATCTATAGTTGTATATTGCAATTGTGCATACGTGTTTGCATGTAAATTCTATAAAAGGGGTACTAATCCTGTTGCAAGCTTCAACGGATCACATACTTTTGTTTTGTCTTTAAAGCAATGATTTAAGTTGTTTAACCAATGAGTTAAAACACATGTCTAAAAAATACGTTAAGTAATCCCTAAGATTCGGGATTTAGGAATCAATATGGAATCGTGTAGTATTTAAATCGTCAAAACTCAAAAGTAGTAAAAGTAAAAGTCAAAGAGAGAGCTATCAACTTCCAGCTGTCCAGTGACCATAAAGACACAACACAAGTACTCCATCCCTTGTCTGTTTCTGGTCTTTGTCTTCCAGTTGGTTTCCGGGTTTCTGTCAACATCAAAACTATCAAATCTCTTTACTTTTCTGACTGACTTTTTCGTGCCAGTGTACGGACCACAAAAGTCTCTCTCTTTCTCTCTCTCTCGTTATTATCTGCGCAAGTTTTTGAGGTTTGAGGATTGAGAGCTAAAGATCATGGAGGAAAGCCAAGAACTTGCTTTGACCCAGTTTAGAAAATCCGTCGAGAAACTCTCTTCTTCCACAGAGGTAAAATCAAATTCCACGCTTTCAAATTTCATTACAAGCTTTTATCTTTTTTGTCCGTATCGTTCACGTGGGTTTCAATGTCAATGTGTAGTTAGAAGTTGAGAAAGATCTGAAATTTAATTTTATGGGTTTTCTGGTGTACTATGTGAAAACTCTGTCTCATTCTCGTCACAATGGTTCCCATTGTAATTGAGTCGCCTGATTTAGGTTTGAACTTCCCATTGCAAACTCTAACAGTAGAGATTGACTAGTAAAAAGCGTTCAAACACAACTTACTTGGGGTTTATTTTAGCCAATTTCTAATCCAGATTTCAGAAAAATCTGGTCCATGGGTTGTTTTTCTCTGTTCTGATTTTTGTTGTTTACCACTGAAAAGGGACATGAGAAACCGACGTTGATGAGGTTCCTGGTGGCAAGATCAATGGACCCAGACAAGGCAGCGAAGATGTTTGTGGACTGGCAAAAGTGGAGAGCCTCCATGGTTCCTTCCTCTGGTTTCATCCCAGACTCAGAAGTGAAGGATGAATTGGAATTCAAGAAGATCTGTCTTCAGGGTCCAACCAAATCCGGACACCCTTTGGTCCTTGTCATAACCTCTAAGCATTTTCCTACTAAGGATCAAGCTACCTTCAAGAGTAATAATCACCTCTTAGGCTTTTACTTATGTTTAAGACATTGAATTTCATAAAAATAGAAACTGATCATTTTGTGTTTTTGGGAACCTCAAGTAATCTTTGGTAATCATGGAACTAATGACCTAATTCTTTCATGTTCTCTTGTTATTGAGTAGTTTCATTTTAATTCCTGTGATCCAGATGCTGAAAGTTTAATGTTATTTGGTTTTGACCAAAGATTATATATCTATGGACTAATGTTTCATGTGTTTTGGTGTTGCAGAGTTCGTTGTTCATGTGCTAGACAAAACCATCGCAAGGTGTGTAAACACATTACTGAAACCAAAACACTTTAAAAAAAATGTCAATCTTCTGGTTGTTCCCTTGATTATATTGCAAGGCTTTTTGATTGATATGTTTCAGTGGCATCAAAGGCAAAGAAGTAGGAGATGAGAAGTTGGTAGCTGTTATCGATCTTGCAAACATTACGTACAAGAACCTTGATGCTCGTGCACTGATCACCAGCTTTCAGTTCTTACAAGTAAGCATCAATCCTCTCTTCCTGAAACAAATGTACATATCACACATACATACACACAAAAGGGTCACAGGTTTAAAATTTTGATTATGTTTATACAGTCTTACTACCCGGAACGCCTTGCAAAATGCTACATCTTGCATATGCCTGGATTCTTCGTGGCCGTCTGGAAACTCGTCTGCCGTTTCTTAGAGAAAGCAACTAAGGATAAGGTTTGATTTCTTGAACTTATCTTGAAGTATCAAACTTCTTTAGTAAATCTCAACCACATTACCTTTTTGGTTCTGTTGTTGTATAGGTTGTGATAGTAACGGACGGAGAAGAAGAGAGAAAATTCGAGGAGGAGGTCGGATTAGAGGCTTTGCCGGAAGAATACGGTGGTCGAGCTAAGCTCACGTTAATCCAAGATGTTCTGCTTCCTCAGACGACTGCTCCAGGAATGTTATCAACAACAAACAATAATGTTTGAATCTGTATTCTTGGGGGAGAGGAGCAATCTAACTCTTAAATTTTTTTTTTTTAAAAACTCTCTTTAATCTACATATTATTTTATTTCCTACTGCTTGACTCTTTTTATTCTGTAATGATTAGAACAAAACTCTTCAACAAGTTTAAATTTCCAAAATGAAGTAATTTCCAAAATCTGGTAAATGTTTTGCTCGAACATCCTGCTGTTTATAGTTTTGAGATACGAAACGCGTGCTGTTTATCTTAGATAAAAAAAAGCGTGCTGTTTTTGTTTTTTGAAGATGCATATGAAAATGATCAACACTCTAAAATCCTAAACTTTCGTCTATCAGCCGCCACCAAAACCTCTCCGTCTCTCACTTCTTCTTCTTCTCCTTCCTCCTCACGACGGCAACAATGGCGACTCTCACTCATCAGGCTCCACAGACCCATTTCCTCTCTAGACTTCCCCTCAGGGCCAAACCCAGAGCCTTCTCCGCAAGGGTCAAAATGTCTCTCCAGGAATCCGGACCTTCCCTCGCCGTCGTCGGCGTTACCGGAGCCGTCGGGCAGGAATTTCTCTCGGTCTTATCCGATCGAGATTTCCCTTACAGCTCCGTCAAGATGCTGGCATCGAAACGCTCCGCAGGGAAACGCGTCGCCTTCGACGGTAGAGAATACACGGTGGAGGAGCTCACCGCGGAGAGCTTCGACGGAGTCGACATCGCTCTGTTCAGTGCCGGCGGATCCATAAGCAAGGAGTTTGGACCTCTCGCGGCGGAGAAAGGAACAATCGTGGTTGATAACAGCTCGGCGTTTCGAATGACTGAGGGAGTCCCGCTTGTGATTCCGGAAGTGAATCCTGAGGCGATGAAAGGGATTAAAGTCGGAATGGGCAAAGGGGCTTTGATCGCGAACCCTAATTGCTCCACCATTATCTGCTTAATGGCTGTTACGCCTCTTCATCATCACGCCAAGGTTCGATTTTTTTATTTTCTGAAATTTTCAATCCCAAATTTAGAGAATCAATGGGGCTATGAAAAAATTGGAGTTTCTGTAGACTTTTGCAATAATGCCGAAATCTGCAATTTTTGTGCTCTGATTGACACTCTGTTGGTGATAACAGGTGAAGAGAATGGTGGTGAGTACGTATCAAGCAGCTAGTGGTGCAGGTGCTGCAGCCATGGAAGAGCTTGTGCAGCAGACTCGCGAGGTTTGCTTTCTACTTATGAATCCACTATGGCGATTATGTTTGAACGATTGTGATGAGTAGTGATTCTGCTTCTTTAGGTTTTAGCGGGCAAGCCTCCGACTTGTAACATCTTCAGTCAGCAGGTGATTGCTAACATTTTGCTAACTGTTTAATCTTTGGAATGGTTCTGATTCTGAATCTCTTTGGTGTGATTTGATTGATTTTGTTATATTGTTTGCAGTATGCGTTTAACTTGTTTTCGCATAATGCTCCTGTTACTGAGAACGGTTACAACGAAGAGGAAATGAAACTTGTGAAGGAGACGAGGAAGATCTGGGTGAGTGGTTTGGTTACTTTTTAAGAGCGATTTTTGTGTTCATTTCACTGTCATCTTATTTTGGTTGTGTTAAGAGATCCTTAAACCTTTTCTTGCTCTTCTCAGAATGACACTGAAGTAAAAGTAACAGCGACGTGTATCCGTGTTCCAGTTATGCGTGCTCATGCAGAGAGTGTCAATCTCCAGTTTGAGAATCAACTCGACGAGGTAACAACTAGTAAACCCGTTTTTTGACTGATACTGTTCTTACTACACGTTCTTGAAGCATTTGTCATTATATCAAAATTGAATCATGCCTTGAACCACATTCTATGGCCTGTTGTTTTCCGAGGAATCATAGACCTAAATGTATTGTAGGTTTGGTAGTTCTTGAGGCACTTGCTGAGTTTAACGATGAAGTTGTTCTTTGGGTTGTTAATAGAATTTGTATGATCATCATCATCTTCTGCATCTTCTGGCTTATTAACCGTTTTTTCTTAACTGTATTTGAAACAGAACACAGCAAGGGAGCTGTTGAAGAAAGCGCCTGGAGTTTATATAATAGACGACCGATCTTCCAACACCTTCCCTACGCCACTTGATGTCTCTAATAAAGATGATGTTGCGGTTGGTAGGATCAGGCGAGACGTGTCTCAAGATGGCAATTTCGGGTAAGTAAAGTTTTCACTCTTTTTATTGAATTTGATTGAACCAAAATGAGTATTGGTTAAAGGATTGTGAATTTTATAGGCTGGACATATTCGTGTGTGGAGATCAAATACGCAAAGGAGCTGCTCTAAATGCTGTTCAGATCGCTGAGATGCTTCTCTGATTTTTCGAATCACTCATCACATCCCTTCTTCTGATTTTCTTGACTAGAGAGAAACCACTGTATTATCAGATTTGAGCCAAGAATTTGTCTCACTTTTTTGTTTTGTGGGTTTCTTATGTTTCCATGTTTGACCAATTTTGTTGTTACTTCTCTCATTCATAAAGTTGTCTTTGAAACCCCCCACGCTTGAACCTTGCCAATAGCTGAACCGGTACCGGTTTGGTTAATGGAAGATGCAATTTCGATAAGAATTGGGCCCCACAAGTAAACAAGTGGTCCCACATTGTTCTTCCTTTTCGCATTGATGATAGTTTTTTTTTTTTTTTTTTAACGACGCATTGATGATAGTTAGAGAGAAGTAAAATTACGAATATATAATTTCTAAGTGAATATTCTTCAATTGTTTATCGATAAACCTTTTTTTTCCGTAAAACTTCTTTAATTATAATCTAATCAATTATAACTCCTTCGCTACTAAGGTTGGTATTTTCTTTCATCATACCCTACCATAAAGATTATTAAAACGAATATATATATTTTCCTTTTTCAGTGGAAAATTAAATCCTAAGCGAAATCTATCGTTCAATAAATCTCGGTTTCAGTTATATCCTTTGGTAACACCTCGTAAAACGACTCTTTTGACTCTACCATTATCCTAAAACTAAAAGAAGTCCTTAATCATAAACACACCAACTAGCGCTCTCCACCGTCCGATTTAATTTCTGTAGAAGTGACGTCAGCGACCGGACGTAATAAAAGTGTTACACGAAGCAGAGGATTAAAGGCTAAGCCAATGGGACCCCAAAAGACGACAAAACAAAAAGACTGAAAAGAAAAGACGGTCTTTGGTCCAGTCAGTGTGTATAAAATATTATTGAGAATCCAAAAGCAATCAGTCATAATCTCTACTCACTCGGCGATTATATCGGAACTCCGGTCATCGGAGATCAGTCATGGTTTTCTCTTGATCCATCTCAGAAACTCGCGGCCTTATTAGTATCCGGTAAGTCATCTCTTTCTCTCTTTAACCCGTTCTGTTTTGTTTTTTCACTTTCGGACAGTTCCTGGTTTTGTGTTAAACGATGTTAGATTCTTCAATAATCTCTTGAGTTACTTGCTATGTTAGGTAAATAGGAAATTATATGAGATGGGGAAGACGATTCAAGTGTTTGGTTTCCCAAGCGGTGTGACCTTCGAGGATGTGAAGACCTTTCTCGAAAACATCACAGGCTCAGGCACTGTATACGCAATCAAAGTCAGGCATCCGAAGAAAGGCGGTCCAAGAGTCTACGCCATTGTCCAATTCACATCCGAGAGACACGCGAGGCTCGTCATCACGCTCGCCGCACAGCGTCTCGACTACGGCAGATCTTACCTCAAAGCCTTTGAAGTGGCGCAAGACATTGTCCCCAAACCTAGAGCTTCGTTACACAAAATCTCCGACCTGAAGATGTACTTTGGATGTCAAGTCTCACCGAATAAGCTCTCTGTTCTATGGAGTGCTCAAGACGTTAACGTCTCGTTCGGCACCGGGATGAGGAAGCTCCACTTCTCAATGTCTTGGTGTGAGAGAGATTACCGTCTCGAGCTTCGTTACGAGAACATATGGCAGATTGATTTGCACTCTCCGCAAGGAAAGCCGTCGAAGTTCCTTGTGATTCAAGTCATCGGTGCTCCTAAAATCTTTGAGAAAGAGGAACAACCTGTGAGTCTCTCCTTTGGAATGTTCGATTTCTACAGCGATGGCTCTGATGAGCAGTGGATAAGAACAACAGACTTCACTTCTTCGTCCCGCATCGGTCAATCAACAGCCTTCTGCTTAGAGCTTCCACGTCATCTCAACGTCCCTGACTTCAGAGAGAACTTCGCAAACTACGCAGAGCACGAAGCTGGCTCTTACCTAGTCGAGTCCGGGACAAGCTATTCGTCGAACGCGAACAGCCTCGTCCCTGTCGTTGATCCTCCTCCAGGGATCGATCTCCCTTTCGAGACTCTCTTCACAGTGAACGCATTGGTGCAGCACGGTTGTCTCCCCGGTCCAGCCCTTGATATTGAGTTTTACAAGCTTCTTGATCAAGAAAGGTACGAGAGAGCTCTCATAGACAACTCTCTTGAGAAACTCTTTTACCTGAAGGAATCTTGCTACGAGCCTGCTCGTTGGCTACGTGAAGAGTACAAGAGATGGAGCTCGAAAGAAAAGCTTCCGGAGTCTCCGATGATAGCTCTAGACGAAGGGCTTGTTTACATGTACAGAGTCCAAGTCACACCGACGAGAGTCTACTTCTGTGGACCGGAAGTGAACGTTTCGAATCGTGTCCTTCGACATTACTCTAGTTACATCAACAACTTCCTCCGGATATCTTTCGTTGATGAAGATCTTGAAAAGGTTAGGTCAATGGATCTCTCTCCAAGGTCGTCTACTCCGCGGAGGACGAAGCTTTACGAGAGGATTTTGAAAGTTCTTAGAGATGGGATCGTGATCGGCGGCAAGAAGTTTGAGTTTCTCGCCTTCTCTTCAAGCCAGCTGCGAGAGAGCTCCGCGTGGATGTTTGCTCCGATTGACGGGCTTAACGCAGCTGGTATCAGAGCTTGGATGGGCGATTTCGAGCATATAAGGAACGTGGCGAAGTACGCAGCGAGGCTGGGGCAATCGTTTAGCTCGTCGAGAGAGACGCTTAACGTGAGGAGAGACGAGATCGAAGTGATCCCTGACGTTGAGGCAAGATCTTACGTCTTCTCCGATGGGATAGGGAAGATCTCAGCTGAGTTCGCTAGACGCGTCGCTAAGAAATGCGGCCTGACGGAGTTTTCTCCGTCTGCGTTTCAAATCCGTTACGGCGGTTACAAAGGAGTCGTGGCTGTGGATCCGAACTCGTGGAAGAAACTGTCTTTGAGGAAGAGTATGAGCAAGTTCGAGTCTGAGAACACGAAGCTCGACGTCTTGGCGTGGAGCAAGTACCAGCCTTGTTACCTGAACAGACAGCTGATCACGCTTTTGTCTACTCTCGGAGTTGGAGACAACGTCTTCGAGAAGAAACAGCGTGAAGTTGTTGACCAGCTCGACGCGATCTTGACTGATCCTTTAGAGGCTCATGAGGCTCTTGGGCTAATGGCTCCAGGTGAGAACACGAAGATTCTCAAGGAGTTGATACTGTGCGGTTACAAACCGGACGGAGAGCCTTTCCTCTCGATGATGCTTCAGAATTTCAGAGCGTCTAAGCTGTTGGAGCTACGGACGAAGTCACGTATTTTCATCCCACGTGGAAGGTCGATGATGGGTTGCTTAGACGAGACAAGAACGCTTGAGTATGGTCAGGTGGTCGTGCAGTATTCGGATCCCACGAGGCTTGGAAGTAGATACTTCATCACTGGACCTGTCGTTGTTGCTAAGAACCCGTGTCTGCATCCTGGTGACGTACGTGTTCTTGAAGCTGTTAATGTCCCTGCTTTGAGTCACATGATTGACTGTGTTGTCTTCCCTCAGAAAGGCTCCAGGTAAAATCTTGTCTTTATTCTGATTCTTACAAACTTTCTTTATTTCAAGTCTCGGACTTTGATTTGAATCTTGTCTTATCTTGTCTTTTTGTTGCATAGACCACACCCAAATGAGTGCTCAGGAAGTGATTTAGATGGAGATATATACTTTGTGTGTTGGGATCCGGAATTAATTCCACCTGGAACGTCTGAGCCAATGGACTACACTGCTGAGCCAGCTCAAATCTTGGATCATGATGTCAGCATTGAGGTACAAATCTTAGATCACTTGGTTATTTTAGTTAGTAAAAATCTTAGATAAATGGAGACTGAGTTTAACTACATTGTTTTGCAGGAAATCGAAGAGTACTTCACGAACTACATAGTCAATGATAGTTTAGGAATCATTGCGAATGCGCACACTGCTTTTGCGGACAGAGAACAACTCAAGGCATTTAGTGATCCATGCATTGAGCTTGCAAGGAAGTTCTCAATCGCGGTGGATTTTCCAAAAACCGGTGTTGCGGCAGAGATACCTCAGCATCTTTACGTGAAGGAGTATCCGGATTTCATGGAGAAGCCGGATAAGCCGACGTACGAGTCCAAGAACGTGATCGGTAAACTTTTCAGAGAGGTGAAAGAGCGAGCTCCACCGCGGATCTCCATCAAATCATTTACTCTTGACGTGGCTTCCAAGTGTTACGACAAGGACATGGAAGTTGAAGGGTTTGAGGAGTATGTTGACGAAGCTTTCTACCACAAGGGGAATTACGATTACAAGTTAGGTAACTTGATGGATTATTACGGTGTGAAGTCTGAGGCTGAGATACTTAGCGGTGGTATCATGAGAATGTCGAAGTCGTTCACTAAGAGACGAGACGGGGAATCTATTGGAAGAGCGGTTCGGTCGCTGAGGAAAGAAGCGTTGTCGTGGTTCAATGCAGCTGAAGAAGAAGAAGACTTCAATGTATCGGCCAAGGCATCGGCTTGGTATCATGTGACGTACCATCCAAGTTACTGGGGAGTTTATAATGAAGGTATGAATCGCGACCATTTCTTGAGCTTTGCGTGGTGCGTTCATGATAAGCTTGTGAAGATCAACAAGGCGAATATTGGGAGGCGTCAGCGGCTGGAGACGCTTGAACGAAAATGCCGCGGTCTGCGTTTGAGTTGATTTTTCAAGTGTTTTATCTTTTGGCTTTGACTATGTACAAAAATGTTTGATTTTGGAGTTCTAAACAGCAATTTCTCTGTACAAAATCAGAATTTTCTTATAGATTTGCTCAATTCAATTTGGTTTGAACGAATTATATCAAAACTGATGCTAGATTCATTCTGGTTACTGAATCGCATCTCTACATCAATAAATAATGAATTTTTATGTACAAAAGTCTATAATTTTCAAAACACAAAACCTTAGTACTACAGATAACCTCAACATGTACATGTACATGAACAGATTCTCTGGAATGGGCAAGGCCCATCAAACACGCATACACAATCTCTATATCTACAAACTCCAAAACCAAGAAATCAACATTTGTAAATTGTATGTCGCAATTTCGGAGGGAAAACAAAATTATCGTATACAAAAAAGTTTTTATATTTCAAGAAGAGAGAAGAAGACGTTGGCGATGTACCAGAGCAAACTTGACGTGCAAGCAAAGTTTCCCTTTATCCAAATAAAGCCGAGCTCCAGTGACTAACCAATGACCAGGACTATGTTGAGGTCCTCGACATAACTGCGAGAGGTCGACGAATTTACCGATCTTGTTATTCGCCGGAACCGGAGGTCCTCTGGGGAAGACACCGGAGTCCAAAACGACCTCGTTTTTGTCTTTGTTGCTGATCATGTTATGATGAACACTCCCACTGGTCAATGGTAAGCTCATGGAAGAGAAGATTCCCGATTTCTGAGACGTTCCTGGTCCGTGGACCCAATCTTTCTGAACGACGTAGTGATCGGAGACTCTCGTGAAACGTAGACGGAGATGGAGAACGGATTTCGAGCCGTGCTTCTTCACTTCCAGCTGAGCTCCAGTCACGATGTAAGCGACGTCGTTTTTGGATTTGTTGCTTGTCGTTTTTGTGATCCAGTTTGGGTCGTACTTCACTGGAGCTGTACACACGTGTGAGAATTTTTTACCGTTTAGAGGTTCGAAGTAGCGGTTGTTTTCTGATATTTCATCGGAGCCTCTCCATTTATGATCGTCGGTGATCTTTTCCCCAATCGTAGTCCTCGTGGTTTCTAGGTGTTGTAAGTGTATAGCCAACCTGATGAACATAAATTCATTATTTAACAAAAATGCATATCTCATTGTGTTACGCAAATTATCAAATCTAGTTATTTTATTTGATTTTGGTAGATAATTTTTCTAATGCGACTTTCATATTATTTTTATTTTTTTGGTTTTAATGTTAAATGACTTTCATATTAATTTGTTTTTGTAGACTACCTATTGCATTTCTTGCCTTCAAGGAAGAATCGCATTCCGGTTATTGGGTTCTTCTCGCTAGTCACCTAACACAGGGAACAAAAAAACAACATTAAAAACACAACAAATAGTATAACTTTAAATAGTTTTGCATGCATAGTAATTAACTAATTATCATAACAAGCGATATTGTGGAAGAAAAGAAATGTAAGCAAGAAGTAGAAATGTATAAATACACGTACGGGAGTGGTATTAACGTAGAGTTTGGGACCCATGAAGTTGATGTGAAGAGCCGGATACGCCGAAGCCATATTTGTTGCCGCGCCAAACGGGAGGTCGTTATGAATCGGGGCCCACGTTCTAGGCCCAGAGAAGTCCAAAAAGTACTGTAGGTCCATCAACGGCGGCTTGTCTGTTCAAATTTACCAAAAGCACCCCATTCAATCATTTATCCAAATTAGTCAAATGTTAAGGTAATTAAGGACAAGGGAATAAGGATGAGTGAAGAAGTTACATCTGAGGTAGAGAGACATGGCGTGAGCAAGAAGACCAGAGCCAGGGACGTCTTTGAGGAGTGATGTGATCGGAATGAAGTTGAAATTGATGGCGTCTGGCTTTTCCGGTACTGTTATTAGCCACTCGCTATGGCTCTTTGCTCTTCCGTCGCCTCCTCTTTTTGCACATATCACCGTTATTCCCTACACACAAAATTGTTCTTCTAGCGATGAATATATTTTCTCAATGTACAATTCGAATTTTCGCACTATGAAATGTACTTACATCTTTGGAATTTATCGAGAAATTATTGAATGCAACCGTTTGTTTGTCATCAAAGACATTGAAAGCCTCCGGAAACTGCAGTAGCAACTCGAGTTATGACTTATAAACACAAAGTACATACATTATGGTGCTATAAGCTAAGTTGGTTTGTTAATTAACTGGAAATGGGCTAACCTTGGGCTGAGAGTGTGATTGGTGATGGGCCTTATTGGGCGGGCGAGAAGAGAGAAGACAAGAGCCGGTGAACAATTGATCCCCGAGATCGTAAAGATTGTGACGGAGGAGGTCGGTGTCGAGATCGGAGGACTTGTCTTGCCTCACGACAACCACGTCTTGTCCTCCGACGCTCACCCCAATTATTACGTGTGTCCCATACCTCTCAATAAACCTGTCCTTTTAGCAAAATTTAATTTTGATTATTACGATAATACTGACAAAATGTTCAGATAATATTCTCAGGTTTACATAAAATGCGATCCAAAAGGAATAATATAAAGCAAGTTGGTTTATTTTAGATTCTTGTCTGAAAGTCTTTGCAAAGAACATTCAGTTCTTCAGTTTACAATTATTCAACGTTTTTAATAGTTTTTTTAGCTTCGATTCAACTAGAAAAATGTCAAGAAAATCAAATTTCTTCCTGTTATTTCGGTACAATCTTAGTTGGAAACGTTGACAATTGACTTTTAATACTTAAATGGAAAACAGAGATAATCCACATTTATTGGTTACATAGAATCGGTCAAAACTTTCCCCAAATATTAATTTTTTTTTTGATAACTGTGGGGATCCTAAAGGCTTTCTAGGCCTAAAGACTAATCCCACAAGGTCCACGACAGTCCGCGTATTCTTACCATTTAAGACAGCCCGAGTGGCCAAGGGGACTCGAACCCAAATGGCGGAAGTCACAGCTGTGACCCCTTTACCACACTGGGCCACTTTCCCTAACTATTATATCAAAGTATATCACAAATTCAACAAAAAAAAATGGCAAGTTTGGAAACTTCGATGATATGATTGTGCTCGTAGTGTAATGCCACGCAATTAAGTTGGCAATCACTCATATTTTCTTTTTTGAACAATTCAGTCACCCATAATTTAAGGGAGTATAAATTAGTACTTAGAAATGTATAAATTATTATCAACAAATATTATAATCACCTGGCCAATGAGTGCGGGTCCCAGGAAGACGGAACGGCGTTTCGAACGCGATCAGTGAGACGCAAACGATTGGGATTATGTATGTTGAGGTTAAAGAGCGTCACCATAGAAGCGTCGAGACCTAAAGATTGAACATTTGCGGCGTCAGTGGCCCATGACCCACTTTGAAACCCGAACGTCGAGTTGAAATTTCCCGACGGTATTTTTCCGGTCACCGACGATCTCTGATTAAAATACTCCGACATCTGATTCCAAAAGCAACGCACACGAAAAATATAAATATCTGTGATTTGTTAAAAGTTTGGGGAATATATTACAGAACAAATGGTTTAGTCAAGGACCTTGTTGAAATCAAGAATGTCGGAACGGAATCGAGTGCGTTCTCCTTTGTCGCAGTTGATATCGGAGGAGACATTCTGAATAGCTCCGAAGCCAGGAACATGCAATTCTCTGTTTTGAGTTTCGTCGAGGACAACCAATCTGTCATCTCCGGCGGCGCAGTCGCCGTCTTTGCAGTATTTTAACCGGAAATCAGCCGTTAAATCGAACCCTTTGCCAAGACTTTTAACCGCCGTCTTAACAACGTCTCCGCTGCCGCCGCCGTTCATCTCTGTTTCCTCTGCTAGCTAAGCTGCGAGTCTTTGAGGAAACAGGCATATATATACAAATAGGGAAAATTTAGTTAATGTTTGATGATAGCTTGTAATGTTGGTTTAATCAAACTTAATTATTATATAAATATAACCTTGAACAGAAGAAGAAAACGAACGTGATCCTTTGATTAAAGGTTTGAAAACGACGAGTAACAGCATCGTTTACGAGGTCTTCGGAGTAACACGTAAATAAATTACTTGTAGCTAGCGGTCATTTTTTTTTTTTTTTAATGCATGTAAGTTATAAGAGAAAAGTGTTGACCAAAAAAAAAAAAAAAAAAAAAAAAAAAAAGAGGAAAGTAATTAGTAACGTTATAAGGTTTGAAAGTTTTGTCTTTATTTGGTCAATGATAATTGTATGATCTTGAGGGATAAGCGCCATATATAGGAAGATTATACAAAAAAGTTCTATAGTCGATGCAGTTAGTTATTAGTTATTACTGTTGATCTTGCATTAAGTATGGTTGATCCGGTTGGTGAAATAAAATTGGCATAACTAAAAACAGTATTTACCAATCGTAAAGATAAACATTTCCGGTTTAAATTAAATTATGAATTTTGGCAAGGAAACAAAAAAACATATCCGTAAAAAAAACAAAAGGCATTGACCATCAAACCCGCGTCTCAAGAACAAGGAATAAATCAGAGTTTCAAAAGTCCTACCATAAAGGTCAAACCGATCTCAGTTCAACTTCAGACATGTACTTATAAACAATTTGTACATGGACTTCACAGTTAAACAGTTAAGCTCTCTTCTCTAATTTTGTTCTTTGCCATTTTTCTCTTTGGGCGTACTTCGTCTCTACAAGTTCGATGAGCGAGATTTGACGAATGTACTTAAACGCAATTACCGGTTATCGCGATTCTCAATCTAAAATATAAACTAATAGAAACATAGTTCGGGGGGAGTAGTCCGCACGGTCAAATAACCCGATATTACAAATCCCAAGCTAAGTGATAAATCTGAATGTAATATGAACATGACTCTATTTCAAAACTTATTTGACTGGTTGATGAATTCGGATAGCAATGTCCAACGTTGCTTTCTTACGTATTAAAAGCATATCTACAGGAAAAAAACATACTCAAGAAGCTGCCTCTAGTTTTTCTTATTATTTGCTTCTGTTTTCACACACACACAATTTTAGTTGATGTGACTTACCAAATCGCGTACACGCATTAGGTTACATATAATTATGTCGGTATATCGACACCAACGAAAAACAAAACATCAAAATTGCATTATCTGCCTCTACTCGATACGTTTTGTGACTTTGTGTATCGAGTATTTGTAGCATTTTAATAAAGTGCTTCGACGATTGGGTTTGGTGATTTTGTTTGGAGGTGAGGATACAGACAATTGACAAAATAAAAATGTCTTTTTTAAAAAGGGTCATAAGATAGTGACAAGTGTGACAAGAAACAAAAGGGTGCACAGATATTTCCATACAAAGATGATTTTGTTCTGAAAATCATCTAATTTACGTGTGACGTCTGTGTGAACGCGGCTTTTCGCGACGCGTCTTTGGTTGTTTGTTAAGTAACAACAAGTCTAGTTAATTTATTCTCTAACCTTTTCCTCATAGAAAATGGACTCAAACTCAAACTAATGGCCCAGGCCTTTTTCATATATTATCTTTATTTTTGACGGTCGTGATTTGATTATAGATTTCAACGGTGTCGATCAGCTATAGCGAAAACAACCAAGGCCCTTTACGGCCCATCTACTACAGTCGTCATTTCGTCACCGGAATGGTGGTGACCGGAGAAGAAGGTCGGATTTGAAAAATTCCTTTTTAAATAATTTCAAATTCGAGGCGGGACATTTGCGAATCAACGAATATCGGTGACTAACACGTGTCTTTGTTTCTGGGTTTTGATTCTTCTGCTCTAAATCTTAAATTATTGCTCGCATAATCTCTGTTAGGTTTTCCGGGAATTCATCTTCGTCATCGCTTTTGAGTCTATTGATGATTCGCTTTTTTTCTTCTCTTCCCTGGTAGCGTTATCGTATCAGTGACGCTGAATCAAGTTTACGCCATTTGCTAGTTTTTGATTGGGTTATTGTAGCTGTAGTCTCGTCTTTCGTACGAGTGATCGATTTTTGGTATTGGAACTTGGAATTGAGAGTTTAAGGTTTCAAATTTTTGAAACAACGCAGGATTTGATGGATGACAATTTTGGCTCTGAAGCTTCCGATTTGAGCCTTGAGGAACTGAAGGAGGAACATTCTTCTCGACCCCCAGAAATAGCTGAATGGTTATGGTGTATCGAATACGTTGCCAAATTCGTCAAGGAGGATATACGCTGCATAATCGGTAACTTTTTGATCCGAAATCTCCGCTTATCGTTTTGTGTATGTTAAGAGCAGGTGTTAACAGGGGAAATCTCTCTCTGTGCTTCAGATTTGATGAACATGGGCTATGAATACTCAAATGATTACGGGAGGAGGATTAATGAAGTCCTTTCTCTTAGAATATTGGAGCTTATCTTTGATCCAAGCAAGAATGATGCTACTGGTATTGGTGTTGGTGCTTCTACTTCAGAGCCAAGAGTTGAGTTTGATTTATCTATGAGCAACGCCAATGTTCTTAGAGCAATTCTGAATGAGGTATGTTATGAGGAAACTGTTAAGAACTTGACTCACAGGGGTAGAATTAGGATTTTTTGGTTTATTAATTGTAGCTTTTTGTTCTCAAATGTTAGTAGATTCCAGTATCAGAGCTACGAGTAGGCATGCCGGAGCTATCGAAGTTCAATGTTCTTCCATTTATTGCTCACAAGAACTTGTGTTTGCCACAGTGTGCGCTTGAGAAGGTAAGAGATTCGTTATCACTTCAGAAGGTAGAGATGCCTAGTCAATTGATTGAATCAGTGATGATGCTCAGTTCTTTTTTTTTGGTTGGATTATGTAGCTGAGAGATTTGAGCTTAATGGAGAATCAGACAAGTGCATCTTCTTCCATGGAAGCAAATGATCCTGTTTTTAGAGATGATAGATCAGTGCACATGGATACATGCGAGGAGGAGCCGAGAGATGAGCAACAAACGCATATTGGCGTGGAGCAAAACATAAACGAGAATGTTAAAGAAATTGTCGTCTACGAGGAAGATGAGCCAATGCACACCAACGAAAGAGATGAAGACACAGCTAGTGAGCCTATTAGCAACGGTAGTACGACTGGTGAGACCTCTCATCCGAGCTCAGGAAGATTGCCAGAGGATGCACGTGTCAAATGTACAGAGGATGGAACCTGGTTGATCAGTGAGAGCGATGATGATGATGATGATGATGAGTTAGATATGGTTAAAGGTCAAGCCTCCAGAACAAGAACAGAGAATGTATGCTGGAAATGTGGAAAAGAAGGATCATTGTTGGTATGTAGCAGAAGTGAGTGTTCATCGAAAATTCACAAGGAATGCTTGAAATGTCCGTTTAACGTTGATGAAGACGGTAACTTTCACTGTCCTGTGTGTTGGTATGATCGGGCGGTTACAGAGTACATAGACTCTCAGAAGATGATGAGCTCTGCCAAGAGAAAACTGGTGGAGCTTTTGCCTGTGCTTTCCGCAATAAACAAGAGACACAGGTGATGAAATCTTTTGCTGCAACTTTACTCTAGTTAGTTAAAATCAGTATTAAAATATGCGATTTTTTGTAGAACGCAGTGATTAAGTATTTGTTTTTTGTGCAGATTTAAGCGATCAGAAACGCAAACGCCCTTGTGCTTGACTGCTTGGTGAATTTTTGGGTAGGAGGCGACTTAGGCAAGAAACGTAGAACTTCTTTGTTTATGACTTTATGTGTTGATGTAAAGAGTTGGAGATACGAGGGGGTAATAGATAAGAACTGAAAGTTAAGGGTGTGATTGGTTATTATCTAAAACTAGCGGGCAAAATTTTTCGTCACAACACAAAAATATGAAAGATAAAAGTTTTGTAACTAGCTAAAGTTTCAGTTTCTTTCCTTTTTTTTTCTTTTTGCTCAATGAAAGATAAACACATTAATTGTCGGAAATGAAGCTAACACTAAAGAAGTCGTTACATTATTTAATAGATCCTATTTTGTAAATGGTATTATATTCAGTTTGACCTTTGTTACTATTTTTTTATGTCCCACTATAAAAAATCCAACAACCCAAACAGAAAGCCAAATCTATTAACACACATTTGCTGTATTAAGTTTTTTTTTTTTTTTTTTTTTTTTTTTTTTGTAAAAGCTGTATTAAGTATTAACACACACACATTTGCCAAATCTATTAACACACATTTTAGCATTCACCTCAAATCTAACCTTTTATGTACTCATACGAAGTTTGTTTTTTGGAGTCAGAAACTGAAATGTCTATAGCAGTTTTGTATGGAAAATTTGGTATTCTGCTTAGTTCAGGAAACCAATAAACGAAGTAACGTAAGATTGTATGGAAACTGTAGTCTTCTGCTTAGATCAAGAACCCAATAACTGATGCAACGTAAGACTGTATGGAAGTTGTGGTCTTCGATCAACTTAATAAGTCAAGAAAACAGTAAGCGAAGTAACGGCCGGTTGTGTGGTTATGATAATTGGAGATGCGGAAAAGTAGAAGAAAAAGGGGTAATTTCTATTTACTTTTGTTTTTATCGGTTGAAAGAAAAAAGAAGAAAGTGGATAGTACGAAAGGTCGTTATCGAGAGATCAATAATAGGGTTTGGGGCTCCAAAACTGGCAAATACATAACTCATCAAAAATGGAACTGTCCCATTGATACAACAGTTCTATTCCTATTTATGATCTTCTCACTGTTGCCTCTTCTGATTCTCTTTTTCTTTCCAGATTTCTCTCTCTCTCTAACTAATATTCAATATTATACAATGTACAAAATCTTATTAGTGAGTTATAAAGATCAGCTCACTAATTCACGAAATCAAAATCACTCGTAGATCATCAGATTGCTAGATCAACACAATCATTTCTTTGCTAATCATGTGATTGTGTTATTGTTTCGATCATTATTTTAAAGTGTACCTTTTTCTGTTAGTAGTCTACAAAATACACCAAATAATCAACGTGTGTATTGCATTGTAAATCTCATAGTATTCTATAATAGGTTTCATATGTAGATTGATTTTGAGGTTTTGGCAGTTTATAAACTAACGCGTGTATGCATAAACATGAAAACGTTGAAATTTTCGTAAACAACGACTTTGCAGCTTATAAACTTTCATAATAACAACGTTCATTTTCTTACTCTTGTTCTTTTGATGTTGATCTCATCAACTAGCTATACAGAATAATACGCAGTCGCGCGTCTAAAGTCTAACGATTATGTGAGAATTCATAAAATTATAATTTAAAACCAATTTATATATACCTCGTTTAGTCGATCTTCTTACCCGATATAATTAGGAAAGTTAAAATATTGGAGAGAAAAGAAAAGGATGGAATTAAAAAAGGCAAAAATGGAAGCAATGAAACTTGTGCATAATTCTATTTATCGACAGTCTGACTCAAAGTGCTTTCGTAAGCAACAACATAATGCTTCACCCTTTTCTTCATATCTTCTCTGCTTCCACTGTTCCTCCGCTCCTCTCCTTTCACTTCACCTCTTCTTCTTTTTTTCTCATCCTTTATATCTCCTTAACTAACATTACTTACTTCTGTTATATATCTGTACCACCTTTATTATGTTATTAGTTTCATACACATTAATAAACCGACAGTTAACTGGGAAATTATTAGTTATAAACTTATAATCGATAGCAGCTTAATAAATATGATGTATGACATGTCGACGATAGTGTGACCAATGATTAATTAATGTTATCATATGACTCATATACATATATTATTATGTACAATAAATTTTTGTAACAGCATCAAGAGTCTCGTAGACCGACAAAAAGACCAAAAAGTAATCTTTAAACCCTAGCTTTACACTTATGTGACTTAGATTATGTACCTCTACACTATATATATGTTGGATAGTACTTGTAGACCTTGTACATGTGATTGACTAGTGAAACATGGAGGTGAAGAAAGATGAGAACAGTACTTTATTAGAAGACCCGAAACAAGAGATTAGTCAGAACATAAAAGAAGAAGAACAAGAAGGAGAGATTCTAAAGAAGAGAATCTCAAGCCACCCTTTGTACGGGCTTCTTCTTCACTCACATCTCAATTGTTTAAAGGTCCTCTCTCTCTCACCCCCACTCTCTTATTAAAATAATTATTGTGATTGTTAATCTCTAACGTATTTGGATCCACCACGACCAGGTGTGTTCCGGTGACTTTGACTCTCCGGAGATGATGAACACGGCGGATGATCTTTCACTAAGCAAACTCTCTCTCCACTCTGATTCTTCCCCCGAAGCTAGCTCTTCAGAACTTGATCAGTTCATGGTTCGTTCTTCTCCTTTTATTTCCATTAAAAAACAAAATTTTCACGTCTTTCTGCAGATTTCTTAAGTTTTCACCTAATTTGAGCTTATTTTGTAAGAATTAATACGTGAAAATTAAATTTCAACGTAGGAAGCGTATTGCTCGGCTCTACGGGAGCTGAAGGAAGCCATGGAGAAGCCTCTTATCGAAACGCACCGTTTTATGGATGCTGTCTACACTCAGCTAAACGACATCGTTCTGTCACCTTCGTCACCTTAAAAGAGGGGAAACATGACAAGTGTCTCTGTGCTGTTAAATGCATTTTGCCAAATTTACAATGTACTCGCGTTTCATTGTGCTGTGTTTTCGTAACGCGTTTGTAGCATCGCTGAATTGTTAATCGCAGTTATAGACAACTGCTACTAGCATGCCCTATTATACTTTGCATTGAAAAAAAACATAAAGCAAAGATTAATTTAAAATATTGTATCAAACATGCAAACACACCCTTTAAAGTACTGTATCAAACATATTCGTGGGTACATCAATGAATGAATAAAATTAATCGGCCAAATGACGTTTTTCCATCATTAGCAGTATATAAGAAGACAGACGCAATCAGCGTTTGAGGTTCCGGGTCGATCACAGTAAGTGGAAACTGATAATTGATTGTAATAGGTCTTACACCATTTGTCGCATTTTTGTTTATTGCATGGAACCATTTGCCAATGTATGGGACACGTCTTTTGCGCCTGATTCATACCCATTTCTCTGGCACCTAAAAAAAATACAACAGAAAAAAAACCCATCATTTTATGGCATGCATATAAAGTTAAAACTAAAAGTCCAAAATTCATCTTTTAAAACAATTTTGTACCTGAAACAATGAACATGGCCATGAAAAGAATAATAAAAATCTGGAGGTTCTTCATGATGAATTCCACAGTTTTTGATAAACTCAATCGTCACTGAATTTTTTTTATAGGTGAACTGACTTCTAATTTATAGTGAAAAGAAAGGAATTTGTTTTTGGAAAGATGATATTATTTTCTGTTAAAGGAATTGTTTATTTTGTTAAATTATCAGTTTTATAGTCAGTGTGATATTATGTTTCTAAAGCGGCTGGACTTTATTGATCTGATTAAATCAGGACATTCCCTTAAATCAGTGTCCTATATATTTAGATAGTTTATTGATCCCGAAGTAATTATGAACTTACCAAAACTAAAAGTCTAGCGATTTTGTATTTAATAATCATAGTTATTGCATGGGCTTTTTAATCCTTTTTGGCCCAAGTTGAATCCATAAAAGTGTAATCACCAAACAAAGTGTAATTAAAATTGATTAATCACGCGAGATAACAAATGTTACACAATTACTCACGTGCGTATGAAATATAGATTCCTACTATTTTAAGAAAAAGTTACTGCAACTGGTGACATTCTCCCTTCCTTTATGCTCAATTTATGACTGTGAATCTGTGATTACGAGTCCTTGCATGTGATGTGATCCAAGCAAGAATGATTAGACTGTATGTTGATAATAAAGCATCCTAGAGCAATTAATTTAAAAAACTATAATCACTTGAAGTAATTATCAGTTCGCATGTATTTTAGCTAAATTTGTTATTTCAAGTGTGAAACTGCGACACAACAAAGTGCATAAATTCAAACGCAAACGCTGATCGAGATTGCCAAACGGGAATAGCGTCCAAAGTTGCGATTCGCAAAACAAAATGAAAAGGACGTGCACGTGGACCAACCCGCAGGGTATAAAGGACCTCTCTCCACTCTCCACCATCTCCACTCCCTCGCTCTAAACTTCCATAACTGCATCCCACACCCACAGTCTCTATTCTCTAACCAACCAAAACTAACTTCTATCTCAAATTTGAAATCGAAATTTGAATTTGAATCTCTCATCGGAAACGAAAATGAAGGAGATCGCGTCGAGGAATCCAAAGCGTAAGGCTGACGCGTCGCCGTTCGCCGGGAAGAAGCTTCGTTCGACTCGTTCACGCCGGAAGAGAGCTCAGATCTCTCCGTTTGTTGTCCAGTCACCTCTCTGGAGCAAGGAAATTGGAGTATCAGCTGCTTCTGTCGATTCCTGCTCCGATTTACTTTTCGCAGTCGATGACGACGTTTCCTGCGGTTCGAGCAGAGTCGAGAAGAGCTCGAATCGGATTGAAGAGGTTGAAGTTTCTGGACCTGTTAAATACGTGAAGGAGACGACGATTGCTGATCCGAAACTCCGGCGGATTACGAGGTCTTACTCTAAGCTAAACAAGGAGACGGAGGTAGAAGAGATCGAAGTAAGCGAATCGTCCTTCTCACGATCCGACGTTACCTTTGCCGAGCATATCTCCGACAGCCGGAATTTGAATTTCACATCGGAGTATAAGGAGAGCGACGTCGTTTCAGTAATTTCGGGAGTGGAGTCGTGCTCGAAGTTCGGGAGCGTAACCGGAGGAGCGGATAACGAAGAAACTGAAATCTCAAAGCCGAGCAGCTTCGCGGCAGCTGAATTCTCTCTGGGATCCGCCAAGGTGCTGAAGCCAGGGCTTGAGATAGTCGATTGCGTCTCCGATCTCGCTTGCTCAGAGAAGTTCTCGGAGGAAGCGGTTTCGGACTATCCCGAGGATGAGTTATCCGAGCCGCGTTCCGAGATATATTCACAGTATTCCGACCTTGATTATTCGGATTACACTCCGTCGATTTTCATCGATTCCGGTAGCGAGTTCTCTGAGAAATCTTGCTCTGATTCTCCTATTTCACATACGCACTCTCTGTTCCTCGAGCTCAAGGAGCAGTTCCGTAGATCCACAATTCCGAACGATTTGGAATCTGCTTGCCAGGAAGAGAACCGTGGAATAATACAGTCTGAAGTAAGTGTATAATGCTTTCGTATCTCCTGGAATAATTGCTAGTGACTAGAGATTGAAGGTGTGGTTATATGCTTGGAATTTCACTTGATTAATAGTCTAGTTTTGATCTGAGACTTGTTCTGCTACGTCCTTTAGATTTGACTCTGTCCTGGAATGAATCTTAAACATACATTTTTCGTTTAGCTGCTAAGGTTTGAAGATGAGGAGGTGGAAGAGAGCTATCAAAGGCTGAGGGAAAGAGAGAGAAGTCATGCATATTTGAGGGACTGTGCTAAGGCTTACTGCTCCAGGATGGATGATACTGATCTCATCCCTCGTCTACGCTTTATCATGGTTCAATGGATTGTGGAGGTGAACATAATCATCCTGTTCTTATATGCATTTGACTGTTATATCCAGTGATCTCTGAATATCCAAGTTTAGAAATATGTACCAGTATGAGAAGTTTCAAACGGAAAATGCAATATAGCTACTGGCTTGTAAGGTGTTTTAGCTTAAGGAGATCTATAGCTCATCTCAGAATCTTATAAGGTTTATGTATATGTCAGCCAAATTTGGTATTCTTCTGTTGCTGATTGTCTTCTCCCTGGCTACACGCAGCAATGTTCTGAAATGGAGCTTCAGAAAGAGACATTGTTTCTCGGAGTTAATCTGCTGGACCGATTCCTGAGCAAAGGATCCTTCAACAGCGAGAGGACTCTAGTACTAGTCGGGATTGCGAGTCTTACTCTGGCCACCAGAATTGAAGAAAATCAACCTTACAATAGGTATCAACCATAATCCATCTTCATTATTCTGACTTCCAATGCTCACTAGATAACTGTTCTGAATAGGAAAAATATAAAGGAACATTTCAAGAAACCGAGTGTTACACTGAACCAAAATAGGGACTAGCAATAATCTAATACAAATCCTATATAGTTATGCATGTAAAATATTGAATTCTGTTTCACAAAAATTATTTTCTGCATTTGATTAGCATCCGGAAAAGGAACTTCTACATCCAGAACCTAAAATACAGCCGGCATGAAGTGGTGGCAATGGAGTGGCTGGTTCAAGAAGTCCTCAACTTCAAATGCTTCTCACCCACGATCTTCAACTTCTTATGGTAAAATCCATCTCTCTTACTATATATTTTCTGTTCCAAGACACATATACACACTGAGAATAATATTCCATACAACTATCATTTACACATGTCAGGTTTTACCTAAAAGCTGCTCGAGCCAATCCAGAAGTTGAAAGGAAAGCCAAATCCTTGGCCGTTACCTCTTTATCCGATCACACTCTACTCTGTTTCTGGCCCTCAACTGTAGCAGCCGGACTCGTAGTTCTCGCCTGCATCGATCACAACAAAATCTCAGCCTACCAACGAGTCGTAAAGGTACCAAATCATTTCAATAACACTTTTCATACTTTTGATTTCACAAACATACAGAATATTCAACTCTCTCTCTCTCTCTCTCTCTCTCTCTCTCTCTACTCTCTGTAGGTTCATGCTAGAACAAAAGATAACGACTTGCCTGAATGCGTCAAGGTATATTCAACATCATTCTCATCATACCAAATCTGATTTTCTACACTAAAACTGTTCGCGACTTTTTTTCTGTATACAGAACCTGGAATGGTTGCTTGAGGAGTAAGCAATCCACAACAACAAATACCCCAAAACCAGAACACAGTATACTACACAATACACACAGGTTATTATTACCATTTACAGAGCAAACATTAAGGTAAAGTAAGAAGCAAAATGCTTCTACAGATCTCTGTACTTAAATCTCCGAACTTAATTTGTTCTTGGCATACTACACCAATTATTAGGCCACCATTTGTTGTGTTGCCACACACATTTATTGCTTATTTTCTACAATACATTATACTCCCATCCTTATCTTAATACCCTTTTGTTTTTGTTCAATATATATCCACTTTAATACGCATGGAAGATTTCTATGTTTATAGTTGTCCTTGTTTTAATTTTATATTGATCAGAAGATAATTAGTCGACTTTAATGGAAGACTAAAACAGATGATATTTTTCCTCACCCATTCTATAAAAATCCCAAAAAGAATATCATCTTCCATGATCTTGTTTAAATCCACAGCCCGGAATTTGATAGCTTGAAAGATGATGGTTAAGAACACGCATATAAAACCAGGGATAATTTTACTAACAATTATTAACTATAATCAGAATTAAAAAAAATACTAACATGTTTGAACAAGAGAAGCAAGTAGCTAATACAATGATCCTTATTTTGTTAGTCAGTATCGATTTCTAACATATATACTTCAACTCCACAAAAAAAAAGGAGAATTGTCAACACATAAAGTACAATATCAAAGAAAGAATACAGCCATAAGTAATGACATATATTTGATAAGCAGAATCTGATAATAAGTATTTTTGTTCAGAGCTAATATAAAGACATACTAGCAGGAGAAAATGTGCGATCACAATCCCAATCCCAATCAGCCAAAGTAGTAATCTGGAATAGACAGGACTGGAGTCAAAGCTTTTTCCGTGTAGAGTTGATGGAGAATCTGAACTGGTATTTTGAGATTACCAATGTAGTCAAACGGTAACTCCATCTGTAAAACCAATTAATATAAAAACAATGAGAAAACAACTAAAGAAATACTATGTGACACCAATTAATATAAAGACAATGAGAAAACAACTAAAAAACATGAGTAATTAATAGTTTAATACCTGAGGACATTTCGTAGGATTCACTACGAACATAGCTAAAAAGACACATGCCCCAGCCATCAAACTTGGCAAAAAACCAGAGCATTGTACATCAAGTAGAGATAGATCGGTTATGTAGAGCAGCTCCTTTTTCTGTTTGCAAAAATAAAAAGATTAGATAATAGCCATTGTTAAAAAAAAAAAAAAAAAAAAATAAAAAAAAAAAAATTAGCTAATCATATATGTTCTCATGTGTTTTTTTAGTTTTAGTTCATTACTTACCATTTCCTCATGGGTGGTTTTGTCAATAGTGAGAAAGATATCAACAAAGTCTTTGGTGGTAGGGTGATAGAGCTTGTACTGAAAAGACTGAAGAATTTCTAACTCACTCTCCACATTCCTAATGTGGAATTGGAATGTCAAGGGTTTAGTGATGCCATACACGTATTTGCTGCACAAAATAATAATAGAGTGTTATTAAATGAAGAATTAATAATATTGAAATACAAATTTTAAGAAAAATTACTTACACAGCTATGAACAAAGCAATGGAGATGACAGTTTCTGGTTTTAGAGGAGGCTGGCCATTAGGGGGAAAAGATCCAAAGTATCTATCATATATGTCAACCCCTAAATGTGTAGCATGAGGGTATTGGATCGCCATTTCTGAAGAAAGCATAGTCTCAATGATTTTGACCCTAATGGCTTGATTGATATTTTTTGTATCAATTGGAGGCAATTGTTTAGTCATTAGTATGCTGATATATTCATCAACCTGATGAGATCACCCATAATTAGAACAGAAAACAATGAAAGCATAGTCACCAAAAAATAGAGAAACTTGCCTTATCATACATATATGCAGCAATAAGGTCTTGTGCCTCAGTAGCACCAAGCTCATGTTTCATATCCTCCTCATAACAAGCAAGATCCATATCGGCAGCAGAAACAAGCTCACGCTGCATATCCTCCTCATAACAAGAAAGATCCATTTCATGTTCCTGAAAGACATGTATTAAGTAGTAATGTAAGGAACAATAGACTAATAGATCTCTGTATAAATAAGAAACCAAATGAGTAATAAGTGCATTGTGAGAAATACTGCAGAAACATAGTAAGAAAGTGGAAACAGAAACGTCGAACTTATTAAACTCAGTTCACAGACTTGCCTCGACATCAGTTACTTGTTGCTGCTGCTGCTCGAGAACATGCTCCTCCTGAGAAATCTGGTGCTGTTGCTGCTCGAGAACGTGTTCCTCCTGAGAAATTTGTTGCTGCTGCTCGGAGACCTGATGCAGAACTTATGTAAATTGGACGAAACCTCATTACAAATTCTCAAATCCATGCAAATACTTTTGAACAGAAAGGTTAACGGAGGTCTCGGTAAATCTTAGCAATCTATATACCTATATCCAGATTCAACCGTAAAGATGGTTCGTGCTAAACGCAGATCTCGGAATTAGTGGTTAAGCGATGCACATAGTTAATCAATCCCAAGAGTTTTCACAAATTCCATCGCAACAAATCATCCAATCCTAAATCAATTCATCATCAAACCTATCCGAACTAAACCGCGGAGATCTCGGAAATAGTAGTTAGCGATGTACAGAGTTGTAATCAATCCGAAGAATTCTCACAAATTACATCACCATAAATCATCCGATCCTAAACCAGTTTATCATTCTACCTATCCGAAATAAACCGCAGAGATCTCGGGAATCGTGGTTAGCGATGTACAGGTTTCAATCAATCCAAAGAAATTCCATCACAGCACAGCAAATCATCCAATTCCTAAATCAGTGAATCATCCAACTTATCCGATCAAAACCGCGGAGATCTCGGAAAAGAATCCGAAGAATATCTACGAAGCAGCATCAAATATGGTATAAAAATTCAACGCAGTCATCTAAAATTACTCAAAATCACAAGTCTTGAATCGCTAACCTCCGATGTTCTCTGCTTTTTCGGTAATGGTGAAGTCATCGTGCTAAGATCGAATAGAGAGAAAAATTGCAGAGGGTGAAAAACCGCGAGCAGAGGAAGAGAATGATCAGAGGGAGAAGAGAGAAGATTTTATTGGGCGGGACTTTCAGTTTTGCGGAACACCCACCCTTACGCGAAATCACCTTCGGAACTCTACTAATCACAGTTTTGCCACTAACGATTTTTCCCGCTTATAATTTTTTTAAAAGATTAAAAATCACTCTCCGTCTCACTTCCTCTCCGCTTGCTCCATGTTTCAATCCGGTCCGATTTAATATATATTCCAGTAATAAACATGAATTCAGTACGATGATTGGTTGCTTTCTTTCTTGGCAGATTTTCAGAAACTTGAAAGCAAATCAGTAATCGGAGCAACAAAATTCAAGGAAACAAAAATTAAAACCCACAAGAATCTTAATCATCTATCGACACACACAAACCTTTAATAGACCTTCCCACTCTCAGAAGTTAAAATGTCCAAATTATCTGCTAGTGTATTAGCGATTGGGTCGAATCGTTTTACTCACCTCACAGTCCCCTGTTTGTAACAGAGTCGTAACCGCCTAACTTACTCGCTCCTATTTTATTTTAAAAATTATTCTCTTTTCAAGTGCACTCCGGCTTCCACTTTATTACATCAAATGCCACTGTCCAACTAACCGTACTTTGACCCGTACCGGAGCTAAACCAACTCCATGAACATTAATAAATAAAACAACATCGATCGGTGACATCTGAGCAAAGAAGATTAGAGTTCTATACGATTTCAGAAATTATGATCTCTTAAGAACGCTGGATACTCGGGTCTCCATGACCGGACCCGAATTGTTATAAGAGGAACATCAAGTGTATAGTTTAGATTTTTCTATTGGATCCAGTTATAAGCCTAAAGTGAACCATGGCAGGGACAGTTATTATTCTGTTAAAGAGCACACGTGCACATCTTCTAAGAACAAAAAAACTTATTTTTAACTGGTTATGAATTCACGATGATGCTCAACTTAAAATCTTTAGCTTTCTCTCCTAAAACATGACTTGAAAAAGCCGTTTGTATTCTTTCTAGCATTTCAATTGAAAACCTTTTGTATTATTCCGAACGATTTGGAATCTGGTTGCCAGGAACAAAACCGTGAAATTCAGTCTCGAAAAAGGTGTATAACGCTTTTGATATCTCTTGCACTTATTGCTAGCGGCTAGAGACTGAAACTTGTTCTGTTTAGCTGCTAAGGTTTGAAGATGAGGAGGTGGAAGAGAGCTATCAAAGGCTGAGGGAAAGAGAGAGAAGTCATACATATTTGAGGGACTGTGCTAAGGCTTACTGCTCCAGTATGGACCATACTGATCTCATCCCTCGTCTACGCTTGATCATGGTTCAATGGATTGTGCAGGTGAACATAATCATCCTGTTTCTTATATGCATTTGATTATATATCCAGCGATCTCTGAATGTCTAAGTTTAGAAATATGTCTCAGTAGGAGAAGATTCTAACGGAAAATGCAATTTCTAGATCCATTTATCATAGTTACTGCGAATATCTGGAGATCTTGTTCCTGGCTTGTAAGATGTGTAAGCCTAAGGAGATCTATAGCTCATCTCAGAAGGTTGAAAAATACAAGGAACATTTCAAGAAACTGAGTATTACATTGTTATATGTGTAAAATATTAAATTATGTTTCTCAGAAACTCTTTACTGCAAAAACATTATCCACACATACACACAGCAATAGTTCAACTTTCTTTTCAGCTGCTCATCTGATACTTCCGGCAATTAATTAGCATCCCGAAACGGAACTTCTACATCCACAACCTAAATTCTAGCGCATACAATTCAGGAGTGGATTAGTTATAATAAGTACTTATTCAACTCCAAAAGAAAAAGGAGAATTGCCAGCACATAAAATACATTATCAAAGAAAGAATACAGCCATCTGTATTGGTATAAATGATAAAGTAACGAAAAGAAACATATTTGATAAGCAGAGTGATAATATTAGAAGTTTGGTAAAGGTGCAATCACACTCGCTCTGTTTTTCTTGTACCACACGTTATTTTCTTTGTGCCTTATACAAATTATCCATAGAAATTGTTTTTGGACCAATGGGTTGGACACAGACCCGTCTTGGTCAAACAAAAAATTAAAAAATTTGAACCTTATTAGCATAGGATTTTTAAAAATATAAAAATTGAGCCATTTTTTCCTTTTAAAATTTTAAAAATCTAAAATGGAAACGTCCCACTGGCCTACCTGAATACCTACCTGGTTGGACATGCTCATTGTTATAACCAAAACTTGTAATGAATAGACCAATCGAAAATGAGGTGAAAATTTATATTTCTTAGAGTCAGAGAACCTACACACCAAATAAGAAACCTATAATGCACTAAATTTTCTATGAATATGAAACATCATTTAATGAAAGAACACCCTTGTAAAAATGTTTAGAATCAAAGTTTAAATATAAAAAATATATTTCTATAATTTAATTATTTACTAATCTTAAAATATTCTTCAATAGTTATAGTTTTCAATTCTAACTCATCATAGTTAAATAAGATATGTTTTTTCTAAAGTTTAATTTAGTAATCCAAAAATTATCTATTATTACTAATAAAAGTTGACCCTATAAACCTCTAAAGCTGTCCACCTAGAGTTCTAAAGGTGAATTTGATTGGTTCACATCATTATTATTATTTATTTTCATTGAATAATTAATTTCCTAATTTTTTTCTTATTCTTATTAGCAAATTTACATTTTTTTCATGTCTATATATATATTTTTATTCCACATCAATATTATTAATTTAACATATTAGTTTTTGTAAATTTCCTTTTTAAAAATATTTTATTAATTAAATTTTAATAATTGTAATATTACCCAACTGGTTCCCCCGTTTTTCTTAGGAATTTACAATTTTTGGTTTTCGTTAAACTCAAACCGGATTATTCACTGGTTCAACCGATCCAGTTCGGTTTTTAAATAACTGAGTACGTAGTATTTAAACAATTGATACAAGTAAAAGGGAGAGGCCCTAATTAGCTCGTGGGGATGGAGAGAGAGAAAAGAAGATGCGGAAACATTAACCAAGAGATTGTAGAAGAAATTCTGGTGAAGCTTCCGGTAAAATCGCTGGTGAGATTCAAAGCCGTATCGAGAGAATGGAGAGGAGCGATAGAATCAACGTTTTTCATAGAGAAACAAATTCGGTATCAGAAATATCTAGAAGGACAACAAGCGAGAATCGTCACATTGTCAAGAGAAAAAAGATACAACGGTGTCGCCCTAGGAAATCTGTTGATTTCTGCCAATGGAATCGTACATGATTCTTCATATCTACCCATTAGGGCTTTAAACCTGTTTGATGGTTTCAAGATCTCCGAGCCTTGCGACGGTTTGTTTTGTGTCTATACCATCACTCGTATATTTAACCTTGTCAATCCTGCCACCACTAGCCGACGCAGACTCCCTGATCCCACCTCTACTGTTTCTAACGGTATTTGTTATGATTTCCCAAATTACTTTCAACCTTTTTTGGGTATGAATGTTATACTTTCAACCTTTTCTTATAACTAGTTTAATAAGCAAACTTAGGGTTTGTTTCTTGTAACAGGTAGGGATATGAATTATACTTTGCTAGGGATGGGAAGAGAAAATAGCTTGAGTAGAAGGTATAAGCTAGTGTGGTTTTTCGAGTGTGATATGAAACAGGTGAAAAAATCTACTAGGTGCAAGGTTTTTGCTTTTGACTCTAACACTTGGAGATACGTAGATCCGCCTCATTGTCGAGTTGAATATGGCCATCCTCTAATACACTTGGAGGGAGTGATGTATTGCTTCACTGCCCCGTGCATGGAAGAGCAAGGTCCCTTTGAAAAGGAGGTACTAGCTTTTGATCTTCACACAGAGACGTCGCAAAGCTTTTCAGTTACTCCCGATATCGGGGAAAGTCCCTTAAGCATGCGCGTTCTCAACCATCGCTTATGTATCTTCAAGAGACATGTCTATACGGACGACCTTGTTTTCAAAATCTGGGGTCTAGACATAAACAAGAGATCATGGGAAATCATGTATTCCATAGATTTGTCTTGTTTTCCACCAGAGTTCCAAGGATCGTGTATCCTGCCGGTGGCAAAGATCGACAATTATCTCATCATTTCAAATGTTACACGTACCACGTGTGTGCTCTACGGTTCCAAAAATCGTATTTTGCATGGTACCTCTGGTTCTCCTGCGTTCAATACTATGTCTTATTTTGAGACGCTAGTCTCTCCTTATCAATAATTATTTTGTTACATTGTTTTTAATCAACTTCAGCCTATAGTATATTTTACAAGAATAATCACTACAATAAATCTGTTTATTAGCCAGGGAATTAGCCAAGTCGTTAGTACCACTATTTGCTAATCCGCACGACCGACCACATGTTTTTTCACGCAGAATCCGTTTGGCTATATTCTAGCAAATCTGTGGCTAGACTACCTAGAGAACATATTCGAACACATCACTTTATAGCCCGACAGGAGCAGAGAATATATTTGTATGGCCAGGGAATATCAGTGAAGTCTGGAGAGTATGTGGCTTAAATATATATATCGAACAACCGTCATTGTTGTTGGCATCCCTTTGCATGGAAAAAAATATATAACTACAACTATAAAATAGAAAGAAAAAAATGTTGAATTATTATGATCTCGTAAGTCGTAACTGTAGCCGTTGTTGGTTGTGAGAAAGAGAGAGATTTAGGTACTCGAATATGTGTATGGGATTAGGGAGGTTCTTTGGGATTGTGGTTGTGTGTTTGACCATACGTCTAAAGATGATTGTTGTGCTCATAATGTGCAAGTGCAACCCACTTGAGCCTTACTGTGACTTTTAGCTGATAACTATCCAAATAACACAACTGTGGGTTTGGTTATTACTTATATGCTCCAGTCATATACTCAATCTGTTCAATCATTTGTTCCAATTATTTCAGTTTCAGGAGATCGCTTCAACATAGCAACAATGAACGTTCCAATCAATGACTGTGTGGAGGTGAATGCAGCTCAAATTGACGTAGGGGTTGTGGAGGCAGCTCAAATTGCACATCTCATATCCATGGATGTAATCGACGAGCAGGTCAATCCCACAATAATCTTTCGGTTACCTTCGATTGGGAAGATAATGTTGCTGTTTTGGAGCTCAAGTTTTATGCAATTAACAGATGATATGCTGGATGCTAATTGGTTCATTATCTTGACCATAACTATCCAAATAACACAACAAACAGTTTGGTTATACTTGTATGCTCCAATTGGTTTATCTATCTTCCAATTAATATATGACACGTTTTAAGTTTATCTTTAAATTGCATAAGACCCCGCTTTTTAATTTGAAACTGTTTTCGCTCTTTCATCCTTTCTTGCTTCTCTTTCATTGCAATTCCAGTTAATATTTTCCAAACTTACGAGGAAGAGAGAAGCTACGTTGGAGTTCCGTCGAAAGAGTTACAAATACATGTTTGTGAATGAGAATGACATGAGGGAGGTCTGTCAAAAGATTGATCTGTGGAAGGATTTACAAACGCTTGTTTGTGGATTGGGAGGAATGCATAAGAAGGTGTTTGGACAAACGCTTCGAAATGAGCAAAAGAAAACGCAAGGAAATCTTAAGGAACAGTCGGATTCCAGCTTATGTGTTCTTCCCCTCCGTAGGAAGTAAGCCGGAGTTTCACAATCTCCCTAATTTGGCATTCTGTGATTTTGTGTTGGAGTAGTCAAGTTTGGGTTTGGATTGAAGTCTGATTGATAAGTTCTGTTTGGTAATGCGAAAGCGTTTATTTTGGTAAAATGAACGGTGATCAGTTTATATGTTGTAGATTTTGTAGTTGTCCGCATCTTGAAAAAAAAAATTGAAATTATTCCAAAATAGAAGATCATAGGGGTGTATTGAACCAGGGATTTGGAATGATTTATGGTGATTTGAGTTTTTAGATAATTTTGTGTAAATCATAGATTTTCAAGTGATTTTAGTTAAATCATTCTAAAATTCCATCTAAAACCATGTGATTTGAAATATCTTATTTTTAATAAGGAAATCTCACCAAATCATTCTAAAATCAAATATATCTATTAAATTCCACTTTTAAAATCATTGATAGTGGATTTGAAAGTATATTTTAAAATCACAAGTTCAATAACACTGAATTTTTAAAAAGTTTTTAGAATTAAAGTTTGAATAACATTAGATTTGTCATTTTAATACAAATAATTCCAAATCCCACTTTCAATACACTCCAGTAGTTCTGAGTATTTTTTGTGCATTTTGATATTTTTCAAATTGTTCTGAGTAATACTTTTACACCCTTTTTAATGAATTCTGTATAGTTGAAAAAGTAATATGATATTTCAGTTTATTCTTGTTTTACCATTTAAACATTTTTATCAATGACAGTCGTCGTCCAAACTCCAAATAACATCTATTTGATACTCATAATCAATCACAAGATTTTGATAATGGGCTTACGGAGTATTGGTCCAATAAGAAAATCTAGCTCCACAAAATTGAATTTGTGCAAATATACAAATAGTGTGTCAATGCATTATCCTCTACTATAATATGAGAAGTGCTTACAAAAACTAAAAACTAAGATAAGAAAATGACAAATTGGGCATCAATAATATGTAACGCGTTGACTTTAAAAAAAAATATATATATATATATATATATATATATTACCCATTTTATACTTGACATTAATTCCATTTATTTGCATTTGTTTTAACTGTTAAGTGGAAAGAAATAATTATTTGCATTTGAACTTGATTTTCTAACAACATTTTAAGCTTTGGTTATTCAATAGATTTGAATGCTTGTTTTATTTTCGTCCATCTTGAATACAAAGACTGTGTTATACTCCATTTTTTCAAAATATAAGGGGTTTTAGAGTTTTATTTTTGTTTCAAAATATAAGAAGTTTTAGAATTAAAGTTTGAATAACTCTGGATTTGTCATTTTAATACAAATCATTCCAAATCCCACTTTCAATACACCCCCAATAGTTCTGAGTATTTTTGTGCATTTTTATATTTTTCAAGTTGTTATGAGTATTTCTTTTACACCATTTTTAATGCATTTTGTGTAGTTTAAAAATTAATACAATATTTCAGTTTATTATTGTTTTACCATTTAAACATTTTTATCAATGACAGTCGTCGTCCAAACTCCAAATAACATCTATTTGAGACTCAGATTTTGATAATGGGCTTTCGGATTATTGGTCCAGTAAAAAAATCTAGGTCCACAAAATTGAATTTATGCAAATATACAAATAATGTGTCAATGCATTATCCTCTACTATAATATGAGAAGTGCTTACCTAAAGTAAGAAAATGACAAATTGGGCATCAATAATACGTAACGTCGTTGACTTTAAATAAATATATATATATCCGAACCTGGTCCACTACCGATTTTATTTTTTTTAGTTAAAGGGTTTTCTTATATTAGTAAAATATAAATGTTTACAATGAAGTAAGAGGAACCATTACAACCAGTTTACTAAAAACAAGTTTCAGAGAAAGAAACTCGATGTTTATCAGAAACAGAGTAAAAAGGGAGATTTAAGGATCTCTTAGGGACCATAGCTGAAGAATCAGAGAACCTTTGCTGTGGTCTAGCTGAACAAGGGCACGGCATTTGTCCTTCACCGTTGAGAATATGAGTTTCAAGATCACATCTTGATTCATAGTTAACCCATCATGATATCTTCTATTTCTTTCACGCCAAAGTTCATAAACCGTAGCTTGCCAGCCTTGGAGAAGAGCAAGCTTCACCTCTGCTGATGATGTTGCTCTATTTAACCATTGGAGGATTTGCTGCCAATTTAGCGGAGGGTCAGTAAGATTGAGTTTTAGATTGATCTTTCTCCAAACATCTGTAGAGAATGGGCACTCAAAAAAAAGATGATCACGCGTTTCCTGTTCAGACCCGCATAGAAGACAACTCGCCTCCGTATCATAGCCCCATGATACAACCCGGTCCAACGTTGGGTTTCTATTTAGAACAAAGAGCCAAGACGTCGTCTGATGCTTTGGAATACCTGCCTTATTCCAAACCAATTGCGACCACCACTGTTCCGGCTTCTTAGGCCGAATTAAGTTCCAAATTTCTTTGGAGGAAAAATCTTTAAACACTTTACCCTCAAACCCCCAAATTGCTTGATCTGTAGCCGAAGAACAATGAATGGTAGACATGAATGAGTGTAGTTGGACTTGTTTGTCTGTGCGCGCCGGAGGTAAAGACCATCCACTTCCCAACCATAACTCAGACACCGTTGCTAACAGAGGGATGCCTAGTCTTGAAGGCCCATCAGAACCAAGAAAATTATAGAGACACCCAAACGGGGACCAAGGATCCCACCAGAAAAAAGATGAGTCACCGTTACCAATCTGTATGCTGAAAAAATGGAGAGCCGTTGGTCTTAACTTTAGCACCTTTCTAAACATCCATGAATAGGCACCATTATTTTCATTCAATGCCCAAAATGGAGTTGAGGAAAGGTACTTCCCTTTGATCCATGCGACCCAGAGTGATCCCGCACGAAAAAATAGCATCCAGATTAGTATTAGAAGACATGTATCATTCCAACAGTCACCACTACCCATTTTATACTTGACATAAGTTCCATTTATTTGCATTTGTTTTAACAAATGGAAAGAAATAGCTATTTGCATTTGAACTTGATTTCCTAACAACATTTTAAGCTTTGATTATTCAATAGATTTGAATGCTTGTTTTATTTTCGTCCATCTTGAATACAAAGACTCCATTATACTCCTTTTTTTTCAAAATATAAAGGATTTTAGAGTTTTGTTTTTGTTTCAAAATATAAGAAGTTTTAGAGTTTCTATGCAAAATTAAATGTGTTATTTATATTCGGTCGTTTTTTTTTATTGGTTTACATATTACGGAATTATGATAAAATATATTTTGTATGCAAAAAAACTTAAAAGCCATGAGGTAGATGGAGTAAGACTTTTTTTTTAAAATCACTTTAACTCGATCGAAAAAAGAAAACAGACTAAAACGTTGTAATTCGAGATTCAAAAAAAAATACCTAAATCGGCAAATTTATTTGATCGGGTAGTAGAAGAAAGGATTTTGTGCAAAAAAAACCCAAACTAAATTATTTTTGCAAGAAAAACCCTCACTCAAAAAAATGCAAGTCAAACCACTCACCTTCCAAAGTCACCCGCAATATAGCCCCTGCCTATATTGATGACGTGGCATTTTCAGAATTTTTTTAAAAATTAGGTTTTTGTGCAAAAAAAACCTCAAACTATTTTTTTTTTGCAAAAAGAGCCCTCATATCAAAAGCTGCGTTTTGATTAGCCCAGTGCATTTTGGTTTTTAGGACGGGAATTAACGAAAATGGGACGGGAATGAGAAATTTAGGAAACCAAAGATGATACGCAAAGTATTTCCTTATTATAACGGGACGGGAAGTAACGGGAATGGGAAGAGAACGGGAAATTTGAGAATGAAAAATTAGTTCCCGAAGCCTTACTAAATCGGGAAATTGAAGATATTTTGAGAAATTACGGGAAAATACGAAAAATATGAAAATACGGGAAATTATGGGAAAATATAGGAAAAATTGGGATATTTAAAAATGTATATATATCATTTTTATTTTTTAACGAAAAAATCGGAAAATCCTGTACCCTTTCCTTTCCTTAACGTTTGAACAGAATTTCCTGTTTGGGAACAATTCTTTTATTTAAACGGGTAAAGGAAGAGTTCGAGAAGGGTACAAGACTTCCCAATTTTCCCGTTTAAAAAAATAAAAATTGAAAAATATTTTTTTTCTTAAATATCCCAATTTTCCCATAATTTCCCGTATTTTTCCATTTTCCCATATTTTTCCCGTAATTTCCCAAAATATCTTCAATTTTCCTGATTTAGTAAGACTTCGGGAATTTTTTTTTCTTCTCAAATTTCCCTTTATCTTCCATTCCCGTCATTTCCGGTCCCGTTATAATAAGGGAATACTTCGGGTATCATCTTTTGTTTCCCAAATTTCTCATTCCCGTCCCAAAAACCGAAATGCACTGGCTAATCAAAACGCAGCTTTTGATACGGGGGCTCTTTTTGCAAAAAAAATAGTTTGAGGTTTTTTTTGCACAAAAACCTAATTTTTAAAAAGATTCTGAAAAATGCCACGTCATCAATATAGGCAGGGGCTATATTGCGGGTGACTTTGGAGGTGAGTGGTTTGACTTGCATTTTTTTTAGGTGAGGTTTTTCTTGCAAAAATAATTTAGTTTGGGTTTTTTTTTGCACAAAACCCTAGAAGAAAGTTACTATTTTATTAAATCTTCAAATTCACGAAATTATTTGAAGTAACAAAAATAAATTGTTTTAACTTTATGGAAAAATGACGAAAACCGCGTCTCGTGACTCGTGTGAACACTTGGAAGCCAATGAAAAAAAAAACAGCCGTTAACTTATTATTGCTTGAACTTGCTGACCATGCTAATGACAAAAATACCATCGAGACTCTCACGTTATACCACTTTCTGCCATTGAGACGACCGAACTTTTCCCACCTTTTTTACCATTTCTCCGCTTCGTAAAGACCAAAAGCCACTCTCCGTTTCTCTCTCCTCTCTCTCTTCCTCTGATCCTCTTTTGCAACGCCATGATCGGGGAGAAAGATCTCGCCGGAGATGGAGAGTGTTCTCGAACCAAAACATCCAAGCCTCGATTCTCTCATCTAAGCAACGACAATCAAGACGAGAAAATCGGCGGTCGGTTTCAGAATCAGAAAGGCGTCGATTTCCTCAGCGTTCGCTCCAATAACCTCGATGGGCTTTCATCGAAATCATCGCCCAGATCAGGCAACGAGCTCACTCTCAGCTATCTCTGTGAAAACCGCGAGCTCTCCGGGAAAATCGCTGAAAGTCTTGGTCAAAAGGGGAAAGAGGTCGTTGCGTTTTCGGAGAATTCGAGCTACGACGAGAAATGGATCGAGAGAGATTTCTTCAATCTGAGAGAAATCGGTCCGAATTCTTCGAAGCGGAAGGCTCAGGAAGACGAACGAGAAGAAGAAGATGCTGCGGAAGAAGAAGCCAAGAAGAGCAACAAAATTGAAACCCTAAATCTCTCTTTAGCTCTCCCGGACGTTTCTCTCTCACTAACGGCGTCAAACGCCGTCAAGAGGCCGAGAGTGGCGACGAACAGCGAACGAACGACGACTTCCTTCTCCAACGATTTCACGGCGACGGCGCCGTCAATGTCGTACTCCTACTCTCACCCTTTCTCTCACAACATCAGCTGCTCGATGACCCGAAACTCCACAGACTTCGATTGCTCCGTCGGGAAAGACGACCACATCTGGTGCGCCGGCGAAGGAACCAACGGATCTGTCCACAGCCGATTCAGACCCATCGGAGACGGAGTCGGCCTCGCGAGCAATCCCATTTCCGGCAAACCCGCTACCTCCTCCGATTACTCCTTCTTCCCTTCCGAGCTACCAGCTCGGCCGGGGACGGAACTCGCCGTATCCGGCGATTCGAGGAAGAAACTACCCAATCCAGAAGAAAACGATGCGGCCAGATCGGAGAGGGTCCTATACGACATCGTTTCGGAATCGATTTCTTCAGTATCCTTAATCATTCAAGGAATGGCTGATGAAACTCTAGAATCCGCCAAAGAGTACTTACGGAACTTGATCGACTCGCCGGAGAAGAAGGAGAAGCTGACGAATCTTCAGAGCCAGATCGACAAAAGATCCGATCTTAGCAAAGAGACGTTATCGAAATGCGTCAAGGATCAGCTTGACATCCTCGTAGCCGTGAGAACAGGGCTCAAGTACTTCCTCTCCGGTAAAATCCGAATCCCGATGAACGAATTGGTAGAGATCTTTCTCTTCGTGAGATGTAGGAATGTGAATTGCAAGTCTCTCTTGCCTGTTGATGACTGCGAATGCAAAATCTGCGCCAACAACAAAGGCTTTTGCAGCTCTTGTATGTGCCCTGTGTGCCTGAGGTTCGATTCCGCTAGCAATACTTGTAGCTGGGTTGGTTGCGATGTGTGCTCTCATTGGTGTCACGCTGCGTGTGGGATTCAGAAGAATCTGATCAAGCCTGGACATAGCTTGAAAGGTCCTCGAGGTACGACTGAGATGTTGTTTCATTGTATTGGATGTGCTCACAAGTCGGAGATGTTTGGATTCGTTAAGGATGTGTTTGTGTGTTGCGCTAAGAACTGGGGGCTTGAGACTCTGGTCAAGGAGCTTGATTGCGTTAGAAAGGTCTTCCGAGGAAGTGATGATGGTAAAGGCAAAGCATTGCATGTCAAAGCCAATGAAATGGTTAAGAAGTTGGAGACGAAACAGATTTCTCCGCTTGATGCCTCTAACTTCATCATTCAGTTCTTCAACTGTAAGTTCCTCAAAGATAAGGAACCTTAAAGCTTTATGGATTCGAAAGTCTGAATCTTTTTCTTGAATTTCTTGCAGATGCAGAGTCGGTAACAGAGTTTCCGGAACCGAAGGAGCAAACAGTTGTTGCGGCAGAAACGAGCTACAGGAAAGACGAGGCATCTGTGACGCCTTCAACATCCAAGGATCAGAAGAAGAAGAGCTTTGCGTTAACCGATGCGATGATGAACAGTTTTGATAGTTTAGAGAGCATGGTGAGAATCAAGGAGGCGGAAACAAGAATGTTCCAGAAGAAAGCTGATGAGGCGAGAATAGAGGCGGAGAGTTTCAAGAGGATGATAGAGATGAAGACGGAGAAGATGGAGGAGGAGTACACGGAGAAGCTAGCGAGGCTGTGTCTGCAGGAGACGGAAGAGAGGAGGAGGAGTAAGCTGGAGGAGCTGAAGAAGCTTGAGAACTCGCACTGCGATTACAGGAACATGAAGCTGAGAATGGAGGCTGAGATTGCAGGATTGTTGAAGAGAATGGAAGTCACAAGACAGCAATTGGTATGAAAGGAATCTGAACAAACAGAGCCTTTTAAATTATCCATTTCTCTACTTCTTGTTGCTATTTGTCGGAAATTGTCAAAATAGTGATACTACTGTTTTTTCTTGTTTCTCTGGGTATTTTGTCTTCTGAATTTTAACTCTTTTGATTTATAACCTCGGTTTTTGCTTATACTTATAACTATACATATTTTCTATGATTTTATTCGTTTAATTTGTATAAAGTAAAGCATATGTATACTTACGTATAGTTTGGTTCCAAAGGTTAGATACTTAAATCATTATGGAATGTTGAAATGAAGAGACAACTATAGTAGGTGAATGATGGAGAAATATCTTTTACCTGCCTAGACTCAAAAATTTCAGATAAATAGTAGTCAAAATATATAAAGGTATATATGATTTATTTCTCCATTTTCAATTTCATTAGAAGACATACCACTTAAGACATTTTATTTATAGTGTTCCTTCGAGAAAGAGTATAAAAAAAACCTAAAAACAAGCGAATGATAGTGGAATGAAATTTTCTGGACCGTTTAAATTGCTTTCTGACGTGGAAATTTACCACTATAATTAAAATATGCAGATAATAACTTTTAGTATGCATCAAAAGAAGAAAGACCCAACGAAGATAAAATATCCAAAAGTATATTTAGAATCAAACATCAAATAATCACTCACATGACCCAGTTGGATATCACACCAATCACATCTACACACCAAACAAACAAAAGAACAAGAATTCATTGAATTATACAATAAAGAAGTATTAATTTAACGGTGGGCTAATATAGGAATCCATCAAGTATAACGGCCAAGAGCGACGGAGAAGTCGACGGAAACGCCAAAGAGTAGAATGGCTAAGCCGGTGAAGTTGATAAGACGTGACTCAGCGTTTGTGCTCTGACCAATCATCGTGGCTCTCTCCATGAGTCCGGTAAGTGCTGCAACAATACCCATATAAAGTAGAGCCCGACCACCTAAGACATGCCACGGCATCATCCTCGTCCTTGTCCCCGACGAAGATTGAGGTGCCAAGAATGTGAAGGCACCAAATAGCCACTGTGAAATTAGTTATTATATCGATCATCAGTCATCACCACAATCTTCAGCTAATTTTGATGTAATTAGTTTGGTTAGCGTTAATTCATATTTATGAATTTAATTTTAACCTGGAGGCCGAGGAGGATGAAAGTTGTGAGACCGATCCAGGAGTGAAGAGAGACCATGTCTTTAGCGTTTACTTGGTCGTGGAATCTAAAGACGGCGCAGATTCCGACAATACCTAGAACTAAGCCTATTAAGTGAAGCCCACCATGCACCATTTTCTGCACTTGGTGCGACGCATACGCCGTTTTGTAAATCATCATCGCTGCACAATCATTGTCGATTATTACTTTAAAAATCCATGCAAAATCACAAATGTAATTCCTTTATATTTAGCAATCACATGTATACTCTCTAGTCTAATCATTCGTACGCGGAACTATATTATAATTGCAAAAAAAATCATAATATCATAAGTACTTTACTGTGATTTTTTGTTAGGTCGTGATGAAATTACCTTGGCCCACGAGGAAAAGAAATCCACAGTACATGAGAAATATGTGCACCTATATATATAAACCATTTTGCGAACCACAAAATAATTAGAATAAATATTAATTCAGTTAACGCATAAAATTATGCTTGAACGATTTGAAGTATACATGTATACATACATAAAGTGTGAAAACTGAAAACAGAAACTTACATTTAAAACCTTAAGAGGATTGTCAGAGCCATACTCGATGCCTTCGCGGTAATGGAGAAGCCATATGAGCATTAGAATAACGGCTAAGATGCCAAAGAACTGAGCCAGAAGTGTTGAAAGCGACGAGTGACGCTTTAGAGTTGTTCGACTTCGATCCGCTGACAGGTCCATTGTCTGATGTTTTGTTTTGGTTGGGACAACTAATTGTTCAAGAAGATGATGACTCAATCAAGATGAGAGAGAACAAAAGAGAAGAAAAGAGAGAAGGTGCTAGATTGTGTATTATCGGTTCTGTCGGGTAAGGTTGATTGATATCTTAAAAGGGTTATTTATACTAAACTAATAGATGTGTGAAAACAACCCAAAAAATATATAAATGGAAACATAAAATCGCACGTAAGTGTTTATGCCACATGGATCATCCAAGTCTCTAACCATGGTCGATCCGGCTGGTACGTTTGATTCGATCACGATCCGAAACAATAATAATTATATTGGTGACCGAATGAATGATTCGACCACATGGATGATATATCTTAAAAGATGAACCGAGTTACTTTGGTTTCTTCACTAAACAATTAGTACATATTTTTTTCATATTTTAAGATGATATCAAGCTCATTTTTTTATAAACTGCTTCGATCAGGTGACCTATAATAGACCTATAACATAATTTGGTTCGATTTTTGTTATTAATTTAAGAGTAATACTGTAGCTTATTTCTAGCAGTTTATAATTAGCTCAATTTAGTCATGCAATATATTGGTGAACGAATGAATTGCTTACGTATAAGGGTTTGGAATATAAATTAAGGGGTTTCTATAGCGAAGACAGCTAAGGGTTTAATTACCTTTTGAATTTTTTTGTACGTTTGATTCTAATCTCATCTATCTAACTCACCAAGGCCCTACCTTCTATTGTCTTTTTTTCTAGAGTTGCAATTTTCATTACTATAAAGATGTTTTGGACACGAGATCCAACTACTCTTCCAAGATAAATGTAGCTACTGAATAATTTATTTTACCAAACTTTCTGATATATCTAAAGCGTGAAAGTATTTCGACTAGCTAAATGCATGATCTAAATGGAATCAAACTATGAGGAAATTAAATGACTTAGTGATAAATCTTTTATCACTAAGCCACTAAACCTTAGTTAACTTTTACTATATACTATCAAGAATTGTCATTCTGTTTCTTTGAAATATTATGTTTAATTGTTTATATATATGCTGTATTAAGAGAGAGAGAGTTCCAAGACGGAAAAACGAGAGGAGATGAGAGGAAGCTCCTTACTACGTCCAAAACGTAAAATATACATATGGTTTATTCTTAAAATTTGAGAGGTAGGGTCCGTAGGGAAGATTTACAAGATGGAACAACGCTAATGATCGCTTTTTCTACATAAAGAACGGCGAAAAAAATAACATTTTAAATTTCGAAATGTATAAAGATTGATTCGACTAGGGTGAGGGAAGCCAAGTATCCGCAACAAATCGTCTAAACTAATCGGACACAAAAATACGACGAACTCTAATTTTAGCCGAGTATTTGTTTGGGTTAGTTACATTTTCTTCTTCTTAATGTTTTTGAATAAAATCCAAACTAATGTGAAAAACTCCGACCTAAAACTAATGTTTTTGTCCCGTGAATGGAAGAGATTTTGAACGATTCAACAGTATAACCATCCTCATGATATATACTAATATATGTTACATGTTGGGCTTTGGACATAACTGTTTCCGAATTCCGACTGTACGTACGTAGTTGCATGGCCTTTGTAGCTTCCATGAGCTATCTCCTAAATGGGTCCATGAGAAGAAGGTCCATGTAAATGAAATCATATCATTAGTGTGGTAAACCAGGAGTACTGGAGTAGTGTCTTTTATTGCTAGACTAAAATAGTTCCAAGCGAATCAGACGTGACTATTACTCGACTAATTTTTTTATTGGGTTTAATAATGCACAAAACCAAATCTTGGATCGTAGCCGTTAATTAGATCGAGCAAAACAAAATATTTAATTACCTACATGCACGGGAGGAAAATCCCCATGGAGAAATTAACAGCTGCGATTTGCGCTCGTGACGTTTGATGCAAACAAAATATCGCACGTGCATTTACCACATTGGGATCTTCCATTAGATTAGATTCCATGACTCAAACCAAATCTGCGCGCACGTTAGCATAAATCTTTTTCCTTCTCTAATTTGCTCCAAACAGACTTGTTGGGACGATGACCGTTGTGAGTTCCCAAATTAAAAAACAAAAGGATACTGTGAAATCAATATTATTAACCAACTATCTTAAGTTTTCAACCATAAGATAAAAAAAACAAATATCTTTTGTTTACCTACCAATAACACTGTAACGGACCCACCTCACCTGACATCCACAGAGGGTATTAACGGCGTCAATGCTGCCGTTAATTGCGCTTGCAGAGAGTAGTTTGGCTGCGAGAGACTGTTTTCAAGAACATTAACATTGGTCCACATAGAGAAATGTTCAACGGCTATTTGATGCTGACGTGGAGTAAATGTGTACATGTCAGCACTTACCTACCAAAATTTAAGCCAGACTGAAACAAAAGTCAGATCAAATTACACATCATTCGCAAAACTAGTAGTAGTGTGGATCCTTTATAAAAAGTCAAAGTTACGTACTCTTTACAGCTTGGACTTTGGAGGTCGTCTTGTTTTACGCCTGAATAAATCATATGTATGAGAAATTGTTTAGAGTCTTGTGGATTATTATAATGCTCTTTTCCCAATGCGTATATACACCAGGAATAGTTTTAGTCAGACTCGTTAATCTTACAGGGAGTAGGTAGAAATAAATACTCCCTTTACTTAATTTTAACTCTAAACAGCTCACTAAAGTTTTATTCAGAAACTGTACCGTATTTTCAAACAGCCGGCAATTTTCGGACACTCATTGGCACATCTCCGCGGTGTCAAAAGTTACATGTTGACCAATCATTCGATGTTGCTACCGTCGCATGCCATAGTAACGGGACGGCGAATGGGGCGGCTAACTAAACCGGCTTTTATTTGATTTTATTATCTTACCCCAAAAGCTTCGAAACAAATTCTTTGTTTCAGCCCCAATGATTTCACTTTTTCTTAAAATGTTCCCCTTTGTCACCAAGTGCCCATTTCTGTCCACACTTTTCTATAAATAAAATTCGTTTCAAAATATCAAAAAATGACGGGTTATTTTTCTTTTATTACATAACCCGTAATCTTTCATCTTTATAAGTTTTTTTTTCTAAAAGAAATTGTTTTTTTGCAGTGTTAGTGACTCTACCTGTGACTATTTGTCGGGACACATGTGTAAGCAGCAAAGCACCTTATGCTTTATTGCCATTTTTGTTTTCTTCTCAATGTCTTTTATTTTCTTTTTAAAATACAATAACGTGACTATATATAGCTTCTGATCCTCAAAATTAAAATCCCCATTTTAACGTGAGTATATAGCTTCGCCCAAATGTATAACTTTTGCGTGTTAAATACAATTCATTTCATTAAACTGATTACCAAATTAAAAAAAAAATGTTGATTTTTTAAAAAGTATTCGTTCTCTTTTGTTTGTCGACATTTTTAGATTCATTCAGTCCAATGTAGTACATTTTCTTTTATCAACCAACATGTAGTACTAAAAGTACCAATTAATCTCCAAAAAATAAAACAAAAACCTTTCCTTTTTATTGATGCATCAGTGTATTAAATAAAAAGTAATTATGAAAAAGTAAGTTGACATATAAAATTTAAATTCCAAAGATTATAAACCAACCATAGCCAGACGTACTCTGCAGTCGAAAATCTTGATAATAATGCTATCTTTCTCTCACTAGCCTCTCCCCACTCTCTCTCTTTCTCTCAACAAAGCTCAATAGCTCGTCCTCAACACGCCAGCTCTCCATTTAAATCTCTCTTCTTTTCAGTTTTCACCTCAATAATATTTTACACAGATACGCTTAATCAGAAAAATTTCATTAAAATGGAGTTCTTAACAAGATTTTTAGGTTTCATGTCACTCTTCACCAGTTTGGTTTCTGGATTTACTTTGCAAAATCTTCCTCTTATACAGTTCGACGAAGGTTACACACAGCTATTCGGTGACCAGAATCTGATTGTCCACAGAGACGGAAAATCTGTCCGGTTAACGCTTGATGAGAGAACCGGTTTGTGTTCTTGTTCCTCTGATTCTCTTGTTTATTTATGTTTTTTTTTTAATTATTTTTGTTAATGATTTTCCATATTTTACAGGTTCTGGATTTGTCTCAAATGATATCTACTTGCATGGCTTCTTCAGTTCTTCAATCAAATTGCCAGCAGATTACTCTGCTGGAGTTGTTATCGCCTTCTATGTAAGCACCAATCTCTATTCTGAAAATTTTCATAAACTCCACTATTGGTTCTTGATTTTTTTACATAAATGGGACCACCCGAAGCTAACCAATTAGAGATTGTTTCTCATGAAGTTAGATTTTGTTTCACTATTTGCATGACAAAGCCTGAAACTTTATTTTTGTGGGTTTGTGTATTTTGCTTCTTATCAGTTGTCAAATGGGGACATGTATGAGAAGAATCATGACGAGATTGATTTCGAGTTTTTGGGGAATATTAGAGGCAAAGAATGGAGGATTCAGACGAATATATACGGCAATGGAAGCACACATTTGGGCAGAGAAGAAAGATACAATCTTTGGTTCGATCCAACAGAGGATTTCCATCAATACAGTATCCTCTGGTCTCCTTCTCACATCATGTAAGTTTAACAACCAACCCATCTTAATTAGGTTTTTAATCATCCTCTTAATATAACAAATAGAAATTTAACTAGATAACTAATTAGAGCCGTTAAATTCGGCTTTATGAGTTTTTAATGATCTTGGAGACTCTTTAACCGTTACATGATGTTTCTAATAAAGGAAAGGCAAGTGGGGTTTATGTGTGATGATTTAATTTGCTTTTCATTCAATTTTTATATGTAAAAGGTAGTGGAGTTGGTTTCTTGTTCTGGAAAGTTATGTGATTTACAGCTTTCGATTCTGGCCACAACAAAGACCCAAACAGAGTATTTTTTGGAAGATAGAATCTAAAATCCTTTTAACAAAAAATGTCATATTTTAAAGATATTTTTCATGATACTTTTCTTGGTATCGATCAAAATCTTGATTTTTTTTTGTTTTCTTGTGCTGCAGATTTTTTGTGGACAATGTTCCGATCAGAGAAGTCAAACGCACGGCGTCAATGGGCGGTGACTTCCCGGCGAAGCCAATGTCTCTTTACGCAACCATATGGGATGGCTCCAAATGGGCAACCAACGGTGGCAAGTACGGTGTAAATTACAAATATGCCCCTTACGTAGCTCAATTCACCGATATGATCCTCCACGGCTGCGCCATCGACCCAACCGAGAAGTCTCCGAGCTGCGAAGACAGAGCGGTCGAGGATCTCCGAGTTGCGTCGGAGATAACTGAGACTCAGAGGAGCAAGATGGAGAGTTTCCGGCGGAAACACATGACTTACTCGTATTGTTACGACCATATGAGGTACAAGGTGGTTTTGTCGGAATGTGTGGTGAATCCAGGAGAGGCTCAACGTCTCAGGGTCTATGACCCGGTAACGTTCGGTGGGATTCCTCACAGCCACCATCATGGGAAGCACCGGAGCAAGATCCGGATCGCCGGAACTCAGTCAATATGATTCGGTGACATCATCGGTGTATATTATTGAGCTAGGGGGGCATTTTTGGCATTTTCTGTGTTGTATAGGAATATGAATTATGGACTTAAAAAGATGGAATGACGCTCTACTTTACAAAAATTGTCGTTTGAAAAAAATAATAAAATATTTTGATTTTTTCTTATTAATAATATCAATTATAGTTTTAAACATCTCTCACATAGGAAAATATTGCATAAAATTTCAGTGAACATTATTGTTCAGAAAGAATCAGATGGAAATGGAGTATATCGTAATAGATGATGACAGTGTAAATAATGTTTCTTCATATACATATTTAAATGCATATACTTCATGCTTTTCAAAAGAAGTAGGCACGCTTGTTAATTTTGTACAAGTATTCAATGGGTCCAATAAATATTGTTGACTTAATTTGTCTAGTTTTTGTGACCATATTGACACATATATTCGGTTCATTCACATATACACAATGTGTCATTGACTCGTTGATAATGTCATTCCGTGGTACATCGATGTTAGAAAAATGTGGGTCCGTTTGCGATGACTTTCTTGCGATGTCTTTTTCATTTAAGATGTATAATACAGAAATGGATTTCTTCTTCTTCCTTTTTTTCACTGCAAAACAAAACAACGGAGTTGAATCTTCCAAAAACTACATTATGTGAGGAAATAAGGATTTGTCACATTGGATGGAGTCTTGTGGACATATTTGTCAAAGATATTGGGTCAATTCGGAAACTCGGAATCCTGAAGTGTCCTTTGTATGGTTAATTAACCAGTGTTGTCTTCACATGGCATCTTCTTGGTGAAGAATGAAGAAGATGCAGTAGATTAATCTTTCACGTCTTCCAAAACCAAAAAAGAAATGTTATACTACTGACTTAATTAGTGTTTTGGTTACGATATCATAAAACAAAAGCAAGACAATAACGGCAACAATGATCTCTACGTGTCATCTTAGAATATATGGACTCGGTTATACAATTAGTCCCGATAATAATTAATGATAGCAATGACTTTGGTAAAGTAAGAAGAAAAATCGTAGTTAGTGGAATATAAAGCTTCAATTAAAGCCATGGTCAACTTTTACATGTATGTTAACACAGGTGTCGTACTGATCGGCATTTATCTAAAGTTTCATTTTACAAAACAACCATAAACAAAAACCCCAATTACTTGAAAGCAGTCTCAAATGGAACCAAACTTTAACAAAAATACCGCGACTTCCAAAACCTATAAATCTATCTTGTGGGCCCATACTGGATCCACATGTTAATCTTAGCATGACACCATGGGCCATAAGGCCCATCTGATCAAAAGCAAAAAGTGACGTGCTAATCTTGTTTATGTAAATCTATGAAGAAAAACTAAACTAATCAGCATCTTAAAAGATGCGGAATCTCGATTTCGTTCCAACTCAGGTAAATCCATCAAATGTACCTAATTCACACTAACGTGAAACTAATCCCATTTTTTTTAAACAATTTGTAACACTATTAGGTAACTAATCATCGATGACGGCTTTTTTCTGTTTCTTGTAAACAATTAATTTGCATAAGAATTTTTATGGAGAAAAATGAGCCACCGTTTTAGACTGTTAAACGCATGCGTCTTAACTAGGCCAAAACAAAAAATCTCTCTTACCCTTCACACCTCTTTTCCTCAAAAACCCTAGATCCCTCTCTCTCTCTCTCTTTCGTCTTGCCTTTTATGAAGCTTCCCTTAATTTATAATACATCACTTTAACTAGATTATTACTCTCTCCCCTCTCTTTATTTACTAGAGCTTCACCGTGAAGACGAGCGAGACTCCCGTTTTGCCAGATCTGCTTCTGTTTCCTTCTTCGCTTGCCTCATTACACCTTCACATTTATGGTGATTCTCTCACACTATTTTTTTTTTCTTTCCAAATTTTGTTTTTCCCCATCCGAAATTCATCTACTTTCTTCCTGGGTTTTATCTAAATCAAGTTTTTTTTTCCAGGATTTAGCGTGCGATCTCGTTGAATTTCCAGCTGATTTTTCACGATTGTACATTTTTGTTTTATCCTGCAGATCTATCTGAAGGAAGCTACGAGCTGCGTTTGATAGTCGAAGATAAAAACAAACCAAAAAAAAACTTCATCTTCCTCGAGAGAGACTTGCTTCTTCTTCCATTTTCGTTGCCATCAAATGGCAATGCCACCTGGAAATGCTGCTCCTTCCGATAAATTGCAGTTTCCGCCCGCCGCGGTCGCCGCCGCCGCCGGAAACTGGATCCCGGACGGGCGAGACGGGTTTATCTCGTGGATTCGCGGCGAGTTCGCTGCGGCTAACGCGATCATCGATTCGCTCTGTCAGCATCTGGTAGCGATCGGGGATCAGAACGAGTACGAAGGCGTGGTCTCGAGCATCCAGCAGCGTCAATTAAACTGGTCTCAGGTTCTGTATATGCAGCATTACTTCTCGATCGCGGAGGTCTCTTACGCTCTACAGCAAGTTGCTTGGAAGCGGCAACAGAAAGTGTTGCCTCATCAGCAACCACCTCAGAGGCATTACAATTCCGATCAGGTTGGGAAATTCGGAGGAGGAAGGAGATCAGGGCCTGGGGTTCACAAACAACAGCATCATAATGGCGGTGGTGGTTACAGAGGAACTGAGTCAGTGGCGAGGAACGGGCATCAAACGAATTCGGATTGTCACAGCACTGATCGAGAGGAAGCTAAGCTAGCAAGTGATGTTGCAAAGGAGAAGAGAGGTAATGAGAATAGTATTTGGTTATTGGCTTCATTGCTTGCTTGCTTGTGAGAAAAGTAAACTTTTTTTGGCTGCTTAATCCTATCTGAAATTTGGTGTGAGATAGTGCATGGTTTGATAATGCAAACTTGTTTGTAGTCTCTAGACTCTCTACTGGTTTTATATGTATGAGTTGAGGCAATGTTACATTTATATTCTTGTTTTGTGGGACAGATGGTAGCGAGAAACCAAAGAGGGATAGTAAAGATTTGGAAGAGTCTAAGTCTGCTGATGCAGAAACCCAAACGGAGATAGTGAAGCATAACTGTATCTCAGCTTCTAAAGGTATTTTGGAGAAACTGAATTTTTTTTATTTCTTTCACCTATATTTGAGATGTTTCTGATTCTGTGTTTTTGCTCTTTCTTTCAGAGAACAGTCTCGGTTCTGAGAAAAAGCAGGAGGAGAAAGATAAAGAGTGTCCTGCAAGCATGGCAAAGACTTTTGTGATCCAAGAGATGTATGAAGCGAAAATGGTGAGTTGGATCTTCTTAAAATGATTGTTTATAGTTTACACCTCCCAAGACCAAGACTGAAGTGCTGATTTTTTGTTGAGTAGGTTAATGTTGTCGAAGGATTAAAGATGTATGACAAAGTGCTTAATGCAAAAGAAGTTTCTCAGCTCGTTTCTCTTTTAAACAATCTGAGAATTTCTGGAAGAAGAGGCCAACTTCAAAGTAAGAATCTTTTTATGCACTGCTTATAATAACTTGACTTGTTTTTTAGTTGAGTCTTTGAGTCATATTGGTTCATGAGAAGCAGGTGAGGCATATGTGGCCCACAAACGTCCCAATAGAGGACATGGACGCGAGATGATCCAACTCGGTCTCCCCATAGCTGATGCACCACCTGATGATGAGAGTATCAAAGGCAAGCCCTTTCAAAATCTTCTTTACTTGTAAATTTTCAATGTATTGGTGAACATGAGATATAATATGAGTTTTATGCAGATCGAAGAATAGAGCCAATCCCATCCTTTCTTTCAGACATCATTGAACGTTTGATCTCAAAGCAAATCATTCCTGTGAAACCAGACGCTTGCATCATTGATTTCTTTAACGAGGTTAAAACTGATTGCTAACTTCGTTGAAATCGTTAAACTGTTTGTAATTGTCTCTCTTTAACAAAGTAGGAGTTTTCTTGTGTTGTCTTCTGTAGGGAGATCACTCGCAGCCTCACCAGTTTTCTCCTTGGTTTGGACGACCCGTCGGCATCTTGTCCTTATCGGAAAGCGAATTCACATTCGGAAGAGTCATTGTCTCTGAACATCCCGGCGACTTCAAGGGCTCTCTCAAGCTTTCTCTCACTCCCGGGTAAACTGATTCAACTGTCACTTCATTCTGAAAAGTTGAGATCTTTCGATCTTTTTCTTGTCATCAAATCATATTTTTGGTGTTTTTGAACAGGTCCGTTCTTGTGGTGGAAGGCAAATCGGCAGATCTTGCTAAGTTTGCAATGCAGTCAACACGAAAGCAGAGGATGCTCATCACCTTCACCAAATACCAGCCGAGAAACTCTACAGCCGGATCTCATTGGGGTCCACCACCGCCTAGCAGATCTCCGACTCACCCCATCCGTCTCCCAACCGGTCCACCTAAGCACTACCCTCTTATCCCGGTCACCGGTGTCTTGCCCACGCCGTCTCACCGCCCACCAAACGGAGCTGCTCAACCGATGTTCATCGCCCCTTCACCTCCTCCTCCTCCCCTGCCGTTCCCAGTTGGTGTCCCACCGGGGCCAACGGTCTGGCCACTGCTACCTCATTCACGACACCAGCCGCCACCGCAACCTAGAATGCCCATCCCTGGAACCGGAGTGTTCCTCCCACCAGGCTCCCAAGAGAAATCCAACAACAGCAACAGAGGCAGCTCTGCAGAAGGAAAGTTAGAGTCGAAGACGAAAGAAGAAGCTTGTAACGGAACTGCTGCGGAGGAGTGTGATGGCAATAGCGGTAGCGGTAACGGTAACGGAAAACAGAGCAATTAGCTGAAGAAAAGATATGATAGAGCAAAAGAGAGAGAGAGAAACGAGTCGGGATTGATGTAAACTGAGCCTGTCTGCAGTTTTTTTAACTGTGAAAAAGAGCGGGGAATTCGATGAACAACGTTGTCTTTTTGTCACTTGAGAAATTGTTTTTTTAGGAGAGACGAGCAAAATTTACCCGTTTTCTACTCTCTAAAATATCATTTATTTATCTTTCTTCTAAAGTTATATTTCTCTCTTGTTTCG